CAGGAACAGCAGATGTACCAACAGCAGTTCCCAAAAAATATAGTGTACATTTTACAGTATCAGGAAGGATTTAAAGTGATACGCACAACTTTAGCTCCTCCCTTTTATGATAAAATGATACACACAATTTACAGCAGAAACAGGAACAGCACAGGAGACAGTACCAACAGCAGTTCCCCATGGGCTCTATACAACCGGTACAGTTAAGGCTAAAGTAACAGGAAGAATTTAAACTGATAACACACAACTTGCAGCAGAAACAGGTCTGGAATAGCAAACAAGACAGTACCAACAGCAGTTCCCCATGGGCTCTATACAACAGGTACAGCTAAGTTTAATACAATGTACATTTATAGTATCAGGACATTACAGCAGAAACAGGAACAGCAAATGAGACCAACAGCAGTTCCCCATGGGCTACATGTATATACAATAGGTACAGCTAAGTTTAATACAATGTACATTTACAGTAACAGGACGGTACAGCAGGAACAGCAAATGAGACCAACAGCAGTTCCTTATGGGCTCTATACAACAGACACAGCTAAGGTTTGTACGATGTACATTATAGTAACAGGAAGGTACATGTAAAGCAGAAGCAGGAACAGCAAATGAGGCAGTACCAACATCAGTTTCCCATGGGCTCTATACAACAGGTACAGCTAAGGCGTATACAATCTACATTTTATATTAACAGGAAGGATTTGAAGTGACACACACACAGGTTATAGCAAAAACAGGAACAGCAAATGAGACCAACAGCAGTTCCCTATGGGCTCTATACAGCAGGTAGCTGCTGTACATTTTATAGTAACAGGAAGGATTTAAAGTGATACACACAACTTGATATCCTTCGTGTTATGATAAAATGATACACAATTTACAGCAGAAACAGGAACAGCAGATGAGACCAACAGCAGTTCCCCATGGGCTCTACACAACAGGTACAGCAAACATAGCAAATATAATAGGAACAGCAAACATAGCAAACAGGAACAGCAGATATACCAACAGCAGTTCCACAAGGTGAATACAGTGTACATTTTATTGTATCAGGAAGGATGTAAAGTGATGCACACAACAGTAGATCCTCCCTTTTATGATAAAATGATACACAATTTACAGCAGAAACAGGAACAGCACAGGAGACAGTACCAACTGTTACAGCAGTTCCCCATGGGCTCTATGCAACAGGTACAGTACAGCTACATTGTAAGGCTAATAATAAAGTAACAGGAATGATTTAAACTGATACACACAACTTGCAGCAGAAACAGGTCTGGAACAGCAAACAAGACAGTACCAACAGCAGTTCCCTATGGGTTCTATACAACAGGTACAGCTAAGGCGAATACAGTGTACATTTTATAGTATCAGGAAGGGTTTAAAGTGGAGCACACAACAACAAATCCTTCCTGTTATTATAAAATGATACACAATTTATACAGCAGAAACAGGAACAGCAGATGAGACAGTACCAACAGCAGTTCCCCATGGGCTCTATACAGCAGGTACAGCTAAGGCTAATAAATATTATAGTAACAGGAAGGATTTAAACTGATACACACAACTTGCAGTAGAAACAGGTCTGAAATAGCAAACATTGCCATGGCAACAGTGGTTGCTGTTAGGTATCATGATTGCCTGGCACTGCCATGATTTCATCATTTTGAGGAAGCCTTGGTACCCTCCCCTCCCCTGAGTGTATAGTGAACGAGCCCCGGGGTCACAGAAAGTAGGGCATCCAGGGCAGTCTCATTCTCAATGGTTTCATGTCAACAAACAGAGCTGGGAGACATTCCTGTGGACATTCCATGCCTGAATACAAAATTCCTGTACAATTCCTAGAATTCTTGCAAACTGCACACAATACTGTACCATTAGGCTCCTCCCTGAGACATCGCCAAAAATTTGACTGTTTTTGTTTGTTTGTTACCCTGCAGCAGCCCATGCCAGGCCAGTACCCACAACAAGGCATGCCGGGCCAGCTGCCCCCCGGAGCCATCCCCCCTCAGCAGGCCCAGTCCTTCAGCCCCCCTCAGTCTGTGGAGGGGTCCCCCCTGCATACAGCCTACAGACAGCAGCCACAACAGCCTGGGTACCAGCAACCTGTGTCTGTGGCTAACCCTCCACCGGTAAGGATCTTTTGATATTCCCTCATGTATTATCATATAATGATAGTTTGATGTAAATGTTGTAGTTTTGAGTATCAAGGCCTAGGAGAAACATGTTGTGTTTCCTGTTTTAGTCCTAAAAGAATTAGGGTAGAGATTATCTTTTTTTATTAATTAGTAAATTATATCTAGACTTTGGTGATCTTAAGAGATCCAACTTATACAATACAGCATATTTATATATCAAAGTAAAACGTGCATCAGGAAACTTACATTTTCAATGACTGTCAATGTTGAAAAACTCAGGTAAAAGGTATCAGCTCATGGAGCTAGAAAAGGTTGATCAGCTCGAAAAATTTATGCCCCTTGCAGGGTACCACACAAAAAAGCTAGGGTCAGTAGTTTTTCTAAGATTGGCTGGGAAACATGAAACACAACAATTTTTTTCCGATACCGTGAACAAGTCCGAATACCATAGTTTATCTAAGAAACAGTAGCACTTGGTATAGCGTAAATACAGGGACATAAAGTGAGGGTTAAAATTTTAGTTTCCATTGTGAATGTGATTCTAAGGAAGTTGTGTTTTCAGCAACCTGTGTCCCACCCTCGTGTTGCCATGCTACAAAATGTAAATCTTTCACAGGTGAGCCACACTCATTCTGTGGGTCTCACTAATGTTGATTAAGACAAGGGTGGCTTTGGCAATAAGGAAATGGTAAAAATTTGGTGTTTAAGGCATTACTGGTGGAAGGGTAATGGTGAGTAGCAAGTACAATATTATGGTCATGGTTTTAGCTGTTCATTGAATTTTTGCTGATGTTGGGCCAAGCACAAGTTTGTAAATCACTCTACAGTATTTGTCACCTCTAGTTGCAATTAAAATATATACCGGTATACAAAATGTACATTCTTTCAGGTGATGATCACAAACCACAGTCTTACCATCACCATTTTGTTGTGCATAATCCTACAAATTCCTGAAGAGAAATGTAAATACTGAAAGAAATCATGATGACAAGCTTGAAAAAAATGTAAACAAGCCACCTTCTAATGTGTATCCACTAGGTTTCAAACTCAGTGGTACTAGAAATACTTTTTTGCAGTTTTCTGAAATATTGCAGAATGTCAAAATTTTGTTCTACAATTTGGAAATACAATGTACTTTCTGTGAATACACACTTTAAAATTCTGGATCGTAACCCATGGTATATACAAAATTGCATGTCAGCAAACATGCTATTTGAAAAGTACATGCAAACTTACTTGAGGCCACACCAATTTAATTTGTTGGTTCTCGGATTTTTTCAGAAAAAATAAGAAGCGACAGGGCGAAAAAAAATAAAAATAAAAACAGGTCTAGGCATCCTATTATAGGCTTAAATGCTATGGAATGAGCCATGAAGTCAACATAAAAGGCTGGGTTAAAATTTAAACATTGAATTTTGAACTTTTAATCAAACCACTGCAATGATAGATGGGAAAACTGTAACAACTAGGAAGAAAAGGACTTTCCTCAACTGTTGGGGGGCAAAACATGAGCATTTTTCAGTTGATTCAGGGCCAGAATCAATTTTTTTTTTTTTTTGCAAATCAGAAAAAAACGAAGAGGCGAATCCGAGAACCAACAAATTAAATTGGTGTGGCCTGAGTATAAATATTAGATATACATGTACATGTACATTTTCCATTTTTCTTCTGCAATATTGAAAATAGCCCTGCAAAATGCAGACTGAAGATGGGTATTTCTAACACTGGAACTTGATGGTAATCTGTTTTCTATTACCAAAACAGCAGCAGCAGCAGTTTGCCCCCACCACCCAGCAGCAGATGTACAACCAGCAGCGGGTACAGGGTTACCCCCAGCAGGCCCCCGTTACCACGGTACCCACCTCGGCCAATCAGGGCCAGCCCATGTTCCAACAGCAGGCCGGCTTTCAACAAACCAACCAGCCGCAGTCCCTGCCTCCACAGACACAGTACCAGGTAGGGTTTTTTATTCCAAGATCAGGCCACACCAATTTAATTTCTTGGTTAACGGATTTTTCTAGAAAAATGATGGAGCGGGCGGGCGGGCGGGCAAAAAATAAAAAATAAAATAAAAACAGGCCTAGCTTAGGCATCCTATTATGGCCCAAAATGATACGATGAAGTCAACACACCAGGCTGTTTCAAAATTTAAACAATGAATTTTAAACTCTTAATGACACCACTGCATTGAAAGATGGAATAACTGTAACAACTAGGATGAAAATAACTGTTTTCAACTGTTCAGGGAAAAATATGAGCATTTTGCAGTTGATTCTGAATTTTTATTTTTATTTGCAAATAAAAAAAAATGAAGCGGGCGAATACGTTAACCAAGATATTAAATTGTGTGGCCTCAACATATATTTATTGAGAAGTTTATTGCAAATTCGTGCCCGGGTGCTAATTCCAAATTACAAACATAAAAAGAACAATGAAGTAGTCTGAGTACAAAATAACTAAAATCTACATGATGAAAGATAGTTGTCTAAAGCTATTATACATGAAATGTAGCTATGTCTAAAACTATGTCTGAGGGGTTTGACTTCTCTTTTTTAGACCATGGAAGACGTAATGTCCCACCTTTTCCAAAATTAGTTGGTGTTGGGAAGTTAAAAGAAGAATAGTTTTTTCTTTGTCTGTAAGTTTAGTAAATTGTTTATTGAACATTGCAAAGATACCACTGAATTGCATTCAATTCACAGTTGAAATTCAAAAACAATTCCATACAAACAGCATTGCATTTAATAATACAATTCATAATCTCTTATAAAAGAAATTATATCAGTTATAAATTATATGTTGATTTATTATTACTTGCGATGGTCAAAACAGGGTTAAGGCTGCCTTGTGATGGTTTACACTAGTCACTTGACTGATTAGGAGGGATACTTGGGAAATTTGATGTATTTACAAGTCAGTGTGACAAAAAGGAAGTTATCAAAAGAAGTAAATTGGCTTTTCAATAATTATCGATGTGATGCTTCAGCAAATTCAGTAACAGGTTTATATATAAACTGAAAAGCTTTACAGGTAGCAAATTTTTCTTATTCTTATTAGCACCTTTGGAAATTTAAGTTGACTGATTTGTGTTAACCATCTATCTTGTCTTCTTGATTGGGCTGTTGGTTACATAATCTTTATCTCCAAGCAGATCTTTTGGTGGTTGCAAAGACAGTATCAGATTGGCCACACTGTATCCGTTTGCCAGACAGTTGCCATTTTGCCACACTTGGGTAACTGCCTGGCAAATGGATACTGTCTGGCCAATTTGACATATCTTTGCAGCCACCGGAAGATCTGTTTGGAGATTAAAATAATCTTGACTGACACCTTGTTAATCTGTCTCCGCAGGCTCCGAACAGCCAGCCCTCCAGCCTGCCCATGCAGCAGCCTGCTAGCCTCCCCCAGTTCAGCACGGGGTCTGCACCATCTTCTATAGACTATGCACAGCAGCAGAAACAGCAGCAACAACAGCCACAACAGGTACGGAAAAGCCATACCAATTTAATTTGTTGGTTCACAGATCTGCCAGCTTCATTTTTTTTCTGATTTGCAAAAAAATAACAAAAACATTTCAGTCCCTGAATCAACTCCAAAATGCTCATATTTTGTCCCCAACAGTTGAAGGAAGTCTCTCTCTGTTCAGATTTGTTACAAAGTTTTTCCATCTATCCATGCAGTAGTTTGTTTAAAAGCTTTAAAAGCTCGGTATGTTGACTTCATTGCTTTTATCATGAAGTGTATTTAGGGCTATCATAGGATGCCTAGGTCTGTTTTTATTTATTTATTCACCCTGGTGCTTCATTTTTGTTTTCTGAAAAAAAAAACAAGAACCAGAAAAATCAAATTGGTTTGATCTAAATCTTCATTGTTTTTTTTTTGTTTACATTCAAAGCAATTGTAAACAACTGTGAGGTTGTGTGGCTCAGAGCCAAGAGGTCCCAGGTTCGAATCCTGCCATGTCGCAGATTTTGTGCCCTTTGGGAAGGACAAGTTTCCTCACTTCACTCAGGTGGAAATGAGTACATGTACATGTTGTAACCATATTGTCCCTTTGTTTTCAGAACTTCAACATGCAGGCCATGGCTAACGCCCTCCCCCCACAAGGTCCCCCGAGTGGGTATGTCCCGCCCCAGCCCCAACAGAACACCATGTACCAGCAGGGACAGTCCATTCCACAGCAGGGGGTGCCGCCACATCAGATGAACGCCGGCTACCCCATGCAACAAATGGCCCAGGTACCCCCCCAGCAGCAACAAGTACCCCCTCAACAGCAGCAGGGCCCCCCTCAGCAGCAAATGCAGTATCCCCAACAGGCCCCCCCACCCACTCCAGATGCAGTGGCTGAACTTATTTCTTTTGACTAATTAAAACACATTCAAAACTTAATATCTAGACAATATTCAATTTGCAAAACAAACATATTATACAGGTTATTGCCCTTATCGCTCACCTTTATTATCGGAGGAATTTTATGATTTAAAGTTAGTTTTATGACGTACATTGTATTTAACTGTATACATCGTAACAGCAGATTTAATATTGTCATTGATCATGAGTTTATTAAAGTCAAGAGTGTAGCAGGAGCTGTGAGGAAAGAGCCAAAAAAAGTAACATCTTGAAAGCAAGAAATGAATCCAGCCAAAAGTCAACATGCAGAATAGGAATAGGATACTACATGTATGTAGATTTCATCTGTAAAATGACTATTACAGCTCCCGAAAGCCTCAGTCACAACCCGCCGTGCGTACTTTTTGTCCGTACGTTTTTTTTGGAGGCTACGTCTGCTACATTTTTCTGAAAACGTGGGGAAGGAGTGGCATCGACGCACGTCACTCGCACTGTTGCGCAAGGTGTAAGAGTGTGGTCTGCACGCGTCTGGCCGTTAGCGGTTGCGTGCATCGTTTGTTGCACAAGTGGTGCATGCTCCCCAATCCGTAGGATTCCATGCGGAGGCGGTACTCACCACGCACGGATGCCCTACGTTTGCCCACGTTTTTGCACGTAGACAGCACACAGAAGCACGTACGGCGGGTTGTGACCGAAGCTAAAAGGTTGCGACTTCAGTTGTGGTAGAGGTATTTGACTGTATGATTATGAAACCATTTTTCTATTCAAAGGAATACTGTGCGGTAGTCCTTGCGTCAGTAACTTTGTAAGTGACTTCATCATATTGTTTCAGTTGGTTAGAGCTCAAGCACATTCAAGACAAAACTTGTTCTGTTCGTATTGTGGTTACAGTGATGCATGGAAACTGTGGATGGCTTTTTAAGATTGTACATGGCTTCTGTTGTGTTAACACTTTTAGACATTGGTAGAATGCAGACTGTATAATACCTTTATAGACACTAAAGGTAAAGTCATGATATTAATTTGTATTATTCTAGAATGAAAAATTGTACAAATTGTAAGGCATTACAACTGTAACCATTTCTGTTTGTGTACCTCCCCTTTGCTTCAGTGTGTTGTCTGGAGCAAATGTTGCCAACAGTGTTTGCTAAATATGATAAGATCCAGTGTTTTAGAAATCTGTATAAACAGCTAAGATGTGTATATAGCCCTTAACATTGTATAAGTGGGGTGAGTTCTTGTTGTTCAAGAAATGACCAGATTCTTTACTTTTTACTGCTCAGTACTGAGTCAGTAGATGGCAAACTATAAGTTAGTATAACATGCCTGCTTGTGACATAACATTGAGAACATGTTTGATTTCTCAAAAAAGAGAAAAAGATTGAAATGTCATGTACTTGCAAAATGGGTAAAGGCTAGGCAATGACTGAGTGTATGAAGTGAGGATTGGGGGGGAAAGGACAGTTGTGTTTTGCGTTTGCTGTTTTCATTGAGTGCTTTCATTCAAAACTTTGCTGCAAGCCCTTAGATAATTTTGAACTAGAGAAGGGCAAATGCGTAATGTTTACCTTGGGACATGGTCTGCTCTGTTAATTCTTACTCAAATACATTCACATACATGTACTATTAGTATATGGTGACAGGAGCAGAGCAGACCATGAAATTGCAACATTATGTAACCCAACACCAGTCACCATGGTGACAGACGTCAACAAATCATGTCATTGGTCAGGTCATAAGTCACTGTTTGGAGAAGAAGAAGAGGAAGAAACTGAGGAAGATCTTTATATGTGAGGCTGCATGATTGAAGTAATGTTTAAAGCACAATGTCATTAACTTTTAACCTGTACAGTTCAGAGGGAAGAGCAAACTGTACAAAATAATTATGAGCCTGATACGGAAGTAATTTTACAAGTACATGTACATGGATCTTTATTAATGGAAAAATCAGCTCAATACATGTATGTATTCTTACCTACACTGTGCATACTCTGAAGTCAGTATGATGATGGAATGGTTGTTACTACAATGTACTGTGATTGCTATGATATCATAATAAAATCCATTTCAATATTGAAATCAGTTTTTTGTACAGTGTGTTCAGTCATTTTGAAAGTATGGCTTAGGCTACAGCAAGTAATTTTTATGGATGATATGAGCCCACGCATTAATTTTCGCCTCATTTTTAAAGAAAGAAAAACAAGAAATTTTGTTGCCTTCTGACAGTGGTCAACATGCCGAAAATGGGCAAAGATGTCTGTTGCCATGCCGGAAGGTGGATGGCAGATAACTATGAAGAGGGGAGACAAGAAAAGGCAATTAATGTTTTGTTTCTTACTTTGGTGCAGTGATATGTGATGCTGGCTGTGTATAATTTATGTGATGTTCCCACTGAATCAAAACCATTTGTACAATGATTGAGTCAAAATTTTAAAATGTAGGAATCTTGTTTTTTTCGGCCCGCCTTAATTTTTTTTCACCAGCTCGCATTAGATTTGGAGTCTGCGGAGGATGTCATCCATAAAATTTACTTGCTGTGGCCTTACAATATAAAGCAGCTCCATTGCTTACTAACTTACTTGTCACCATTGCATTGCATGGGAATAATGAAGGAATATACCGAATGTTTATGAAAGATCTCACTTTCTTGAATATCATCTGGAATCAACCCTTCTTAAACACTAAGATCTTGTTGTTTGCAGGCATGTCCACCTGTAAAAACAAGCAAGGGAATTAGTAAAAATGGGCATTTAAGGTAATTAACATTGCTTACAAATGAACAAAATTTATTTTGCCATTCTAACAAATAAATGGCACTAAGACTCGAGTAAGAGCAATCTTCAATATCTATATATATCTACATGTGTAATGTACTGTACATGTATAAGGCCTAGGAAAAAAATGTTGTGTTTCCCAACCAATTACCCTAGAAAAAAATGCAGAACCTAGCCCTTTTTTGTGTGGACCCCTGCAAGGGACGTAAATATTTCAAGCTGATCAACCTTTTCTAGCTCCATGATGTGACACCTGTGTGATGAAACGTTATAACGTTAACACATTTTTTACCTAGCCTAACTGCCACACATACCATTCTGTGAAACTGAAGCCCCTGCTTCTGTGCCACTTCCGTCAGGTAGTCTGTGTCCCTCAGGCCCCACTCCGGGTTTCTGGAAAGAGATTGCAATGGGTAGATATGATACCAGTTTGGAGAAACCAATGATCGGACCATGATAAATCCTGCTTAGCAGATGTAGGGGGGATGAACTTTAAACTCTTTACTACTGTATGTACACATGTATATATTTTGTCACTGGGATACTAGTACATTGTACTTGAAAATATACACTTTTCTCCCATGATGAAATACAATAAGAGAAATACCTAGAAAGGTAACATTTGCAAGGCAGATGCATAATGTTTACATTTGCATATGGTCTGCTCTGTTAATTCTTACTGAAACACATTCATAAACATGGTGACAGGAGTCTAAATCCCTCCTGCTATGAAATTGCAACATGATGTAACCCAACACTAGTTACCATGGCAACAGACACAACATTGATCAGGTCAGAGGTCACTGTTTGGAGAAGAAGAAGAGGAAGAAGAAACTGAGCAAAAACAAAATGTTTTCCTTTGGTAAACATAAATATACCGGTAGTATGACTTACTGTGCCTTGAGGTGTTCATCAAATCTCACATTACTGTCAGGACTGATGACACCATGAATGGAGAAGGGCTGCAGACAATGAGATAATAATTTATTGGGAAGACAGTGCATTCACATAATTTGTAAGCGTAAAACGTAAATCTTATGAAAGTTGCTGGCTAGGTATAATAACTACTGTAGCTAACAAACAAACTCATTCAGACAGAGAGAATAAATACTAGTAACTTACCCCATAGGCTACAAGCTGTCCTTCAGGTTTGAGTAGGACCCCTGCAGCTTCTAACAAGCCCTGTAGAAACATGCCATAGAAAATATACATGACTGCATGTCAGTTACAACAGCAATATGAGCGATTGCCACGACGTCATGATGTCACCGCCAATGAGTTTTAGACAAAAATTAGTCTATTGTGGGCCTTGACTTGAAGTTGAATATCTTTGAAAAGTTACACACCTGTGTGCAGTTGATGGGTGATATGTGCATCATGTTGACACACATCATCATGTCACATGACTCTGGCTGGTGCCCCGCCCACTGTTGCCATGGCTGCGAAGTGTCAATTATTACAGGTGGCTTGACGTTCCTCACACCTGTGGCTTTGATGCAGGCTGAAATACTAGAGGTTGATAGCGACATGAAAGTCACAAGTTAGTGGCAGTCGTTACAGGTGTCTCAAAATAGTGGCTAAAGGCCTGTAACTCTTCAAATGTCAACCAAGATTTCTATCATGTCGCAATTTTTTTGCTTTCCATTTTAATTGACCATGTCAGAGGTCAGTGCTTGGAACAATGAAGAATGTTTTCCCTCTGTAAACATGATTCGGAAGATTCGAGGACGAATCTTGAAAAGAAAAGGGGGAGTAGTGTAAGAGGGCCTGCAAGGGGGGTAGTGATTACGAATTACGCAAATTTTCGCCGCCTATTACGAATTACGTTAACGTTTCAGAGCTGATTACGACTTTACGATTTGCTGCTAATGTCCAATTACGAATTACGTTGATTTTTGCGGAGGCTGCCTACGAATTACGAAGTCTAAAACGGCCTGATTACGCCTTACGAAAAAGGGCTTGCAGGCCCTCGTGTAACAGTGGGGGGTTTATAGGCGCTACCAACTGACCCGGCCGACGGGTCTAGACCTTTTAGCGGAGAGGTTAGAGCGTCTGGTTATGATTAGCTCTGGTGCTCGGGAGGTCGTGGGTTCGAACCCCGGCCCGGGACCAGAAGGGTTTTTACTGGCTCCTCCTGTTTCTTACAATTTTATGAGGGTCTGCATGGGGGGTCCTGGCAACGGTTAACGGTAAATTAAGCAGGGCCGATAACGCTTAACGGTAAATTCAGGACGGTCGGCAACGCTTAACGGTAAATTGATAGGCTTTTTTTTCGAGCTGCAATGGATTTGGTATCTGGCTTTGTGAGAAAAGGTGATCACTGACATAATTACGTATACCTTGCATGTAATGAAGCACGCATTAAAGGTATGTGTTCCCTGTGTTTCCCACCTGCCCTGGTCCCGGAGCAGTCCGAGTCGGCCAGGGCTCTACCCAGCTTGACTTTTGCCCGTGCGCCCAGTCTTACCGATGGATTTTGAGAGAGGAGCGCCGAAGGAGCTGGCAATCTAAGGGGGTCCGAGGGATGCTCCCCCGGGAAATTTAGGCTTTTTAAGCCTTCAAAAACGCAATTTCCCGCAGTTTGAGAGGCAAATTATGGTGTTGAGAGTGTTTGTCGGTACCCGGTCTTTCTGATGCTTTCTTATTTTTACTCAAGATATCAAGCGAGTCGAGCGCCAAAGGCGCGAGCAATGTATTATGTAGGGGGGTCCGGGGCATTCTCCCCCGGGAAATTTTTGATTTTCAAACCTTCAATGACGCATTTTCCAGCACTTTGAAAGGCAAAATTAGGCGTAACGAAGAATTATTCATTAACGCTTAACGCTGGATTTAGAATGACAAATAACGTTTTACGTTGAATTAAAACGGCCAATAACGCTTCACGAGGAATATACCGATAACGCTTAACGTTGAATTAGAGCGGGCCGGCAATGATTAACGGTGAATTAAAATAGCCCATAACGGTTAACGAAAAAGGGCATGCAGGCCCTCTTTTATTGCAGGAGGGATTTAGACTCCTGTCTGACAATATATTGTACATGAATGTGTTTTCAAGAGTAAGAATTAACAGAGCAGGCCATATGTGAAGGTAAACATTTTAATTTATTTATGCAATTTTTTTTTGCTTTGCAAATGTTGCCTTTCTAGTTGTGCATGCACCTATCAGTGAAAACCTCAGGTGATTTCTGCCCACCTATCTAGACATCTCTGTTCTACGTCCGAGGGCTGCCAGGTGAGGTTAGGAAACGCCTGTGTGATGTATGCCGCGTGTGTCCCCGACCCTGACGCCACCTCCAGCAGGTACACCGGCCGGTCTCCGGGCACCAGTTCCCGCATCACCTCCAGGATGGGCCCCTTGTTCCTGTCAGCGGCCGACACTCGCTTCATCTTTGTGATACTCAGGAGTCTGAGTCTTTTAGCCAGGCAGGAAAGAAGACCTATGGTTCAGCTGTACAAAGGATCATTGACCTTTGATCCGGATTCACTGCTCCAGCTACGACCACGTGGCTATCCGTAGACAACAAAAATGACAACGCCTTCTTTTTGCTGTCCTTTTTGTCGTCTTCTCAGCACGTGAAAATATTGATCCCTTGGTATTTGCAGCAGCGCTCCTAGCGGTAGGCTTTGCGGAAGCAGTCCTCTGATGCTGACATTTTAGATGATGCAGTCAGACCCGGTTCTTTCTCATCTTCAGACTTTAAGGGGTAGAAATTTCTCAGAACTCAACCTTAAAATGTGCTGTCGTCCGAAACAAAGGGAGCTTCTTATTTAAACTGTCTACGTATTCTTTTATAATGTACTGCGTCAGTTGCGTTTCATAATGCCCATTGCGTCACTGGCCGCGCAGAGCAGACGACACGTGTAATCCACCACGTTCCCAAAACGGACCAATCAGAGATCGCCTTTGCGAAACCAGACATCTGATTGGTCAATTTTTCGGATATATATCCAATGGCACGGGCCTTTGGTGAAGAAGTACGGGGGAAGTGACTACAACTGGGACGCAGAATGTACACTGTGAGCAGAGGCCCAAGCAAACTGGCAGCTCAACGCCGACGGGGTGAGTAAAAAAGCTCAATCCGCATTTATACGGAGAGTCCCCATGCCGAACTTACGCCCAGAGAAATTTCGACGTCTCTAGGCCATTTTTAACCGATTTTATGGGTCTCTGTCGCTATCAGGTCCGACGCAAAACCTTGAGAAAGTGAGTCCTACATCGCCTACCTTCAAGGACGAAAATTGGAACGCCATCAAAATGAGGTGAGACACAACGATCGGTATCGGAAACTGTCCTGATCACTGCTAACACCACAGATAACACAGACACCAAACACACACGGGTGGTAATAAAACAAGGATAAATGTGTGTGACCTTGGTAAGGTCATCCTAACCTTAAAACCTGGTGCTTGCGTAACCTCAAATTTCCCACTACTAGTTCAGGTGGGGAGGGGGGCATGGCAGGTGGATGCCCCTTTGTTGTTGCGTGCCTTCCGTACATTTTTTTTACAGCAAATTCACAAATGATGACCACAAGGATTTTTCCTATACACACAACTATAGCATTGCTACAATTATGCCCTTAGTTTTATCAGATATAACTTATTGACCGCTAGATGACACCCTACACAGAGACAGAAGACCCACGTGTATTGTAATCTCTTACATCACATCAACCCTACTCTCCAAGCAGAGGTTTGGGTTTGGGGTTATTTTCGGCGTGTTTTTAGGCTTTTTTATTTGGGGTTTCTCTTTTGCACTGGAATTTTTTTGTGTGAGAAAAAAAATTCCAGTGCAAAAAAGAAACCCTGATAAAAAGCCTAAAATTTTTAGTAAAAACACGCCAAAAATAACCCCAAACCTCTGCTTGGAGAGTACCTCTTTATGCCACCCCCAATTCTATTAGTAGTAATTCCAGACCTGTGACACTCAAATCATATTTCTGAGGAAATTACTAGCGTCGACTGAACTCATATTCAAGTAGCTTGCAAACTGTGCATCATTAAAAATTGTGCATTGAAAAAAAATTGTGGCAAATGGAAAGTAGTCTGGTAATTGCATGTCTGTACCCAGTGGGGGTTCGGAATGGAAGGTCCACTTTTTATCTAAAGGCCCAAGATTTTTCTTTAGAAAAGGTGGACTGATTTGTATCACCAGCGGGACTTGAAATCCTATCTCATCTTTCTCTGATTTTTCCTTTGAAATCCTCTCAAAAAATGCAGGAAATGCCATATTCAAAGGTTTACTGTTCAAAATTTTCCAGGGGAGCATGCCCCCGGACCCCCCTAGGAATCTCGCACTTTCAGTGCTCGCATCGCACCTGTGGCACTCGCTGGTCCCTCGAACAGTAGAAAGAACCCCCAAAACCAAAATCCTGGCTACGGGCATGAATTGTTTTACATTTAGGCCACACCGACTTAATTTTATGGATGACATCCTCTGAAGTGTGCGCGGGCGAAAAGAAAAAATTCCGGCAAAAAATAAAAATGCTACTAAACCACAGGAATACAAAGCTGGTATTGTGAATACACGACGAGCGACGTACACGACAAGTCGGCATATGCTGCAGCTGGCTTTTTGTAGAATTTATGAATCGGCACTGTACGTACGTACTGAGTTCTTGAGTTGTGGAGCTTTGGTGCCATCGGTGCCATCCTCCAGGGTTACCACCGGCTCCGTATTGTTGCTAACTACCATGAACTACCCAGGCCTAGAGCCAGGCCAGACGTGATTTTTTGGCGTGGATGTCACTCATGAAATTAAGTCGGTGTGGCCTTACAACCACATGCATTCACTTCAGTGCCCCAAAGGCACCATCTGTGGTAAAGTCCTGCCAAATAAGACACAAGTCTCATCAATTCTTCTCTAAATGAAGCTGTGACTGTCTGTCACATGTCTCCCAGAATGGAGTTGACAGCACTGATTGCTATATCCCTTAATGGGCTTAAGTTAAAGTACTGACGGGAAAGCAGCTGACACAATTACTCTATTTAAGTATTAATTCATAAGGCCATGTGGGGAAATGTTCTTTTCCCATCAGTTTCTGGTAGACTTTCGGAAACAAGATCTGAAATTGCAATTACTCATTTTGACGTCTCACACACAGCACTAGCAACAGGGCTCGAAATTAACGGTGTCCCAATGTCCACTGAACACTAAAATTTTGGCCAGGACAACTATAAAGATACTTTGGGACATTTTGGGGACAATAGAAAAATAATCAACCACGAATGTCGGCCCTTTTTTTGTTCACCAGGCACACATCCTGGCTTTTGGCTCCAGAAAAGTCACATCAAATTTTCTATTTTTGTCAAACAAAAGTCATACAATACTTCTGAAAAACAGGTTGGGAAAGTTCATCCTCACTTCGGGACAGTTGAAATTAATATACGGATAGTGCTGGGACAATAGTAAGAAAAGTTCGAGGCCTGTAGCAAGATGTTGTGATCAATGATGATAATAATATTATACTAGTATATTACTCTACTAGTACTCAGTAGTAGAGTTTTAGGGGAATTGACAAGAGAATGTAGGCCAGTGTCCTTTAGTATGAGACATACATGCATGCCTCTCATGACAGGTTTTCTAAGATACCAACTAGGCAAGAATGTATCTGATGTTGCTGTTTTCACTGTTGCTATTAGTAGTAACACAAACACACTGACATTTAGAATTCTATTCACGAATGGGGACAGGGCTGAAAATAGAATCAGGGTCAGGTTAAGTCCAAAGTGATCATCACCTGTCCTTCATTTGACCTTCGTTTAGGTCATTCCTATTGGCTATCTGCCAAACCTTACTACATGTAGTACATTCACTAACTATATGGTAGACCCCATGTCCAACCTGTTCTGTTGCCAACACGATTTGAAAACGTTTGCCAGAAATGTTAATGATATTGGGTCATCTTAAGCTTCCGCTATAAATTAGTATAATTAGCCATTTAGTTAAAATTATAAGGCTATTCCTTGGCTCCCAATTGCCTTGACCCCATTCCTGACTCAATCCAACTGTGGGATAGTGTCCAAGGTAACCCTACTGCTTCAGCTTGCAGTGGCCATGTTTCTTGTGAACTTACATGAGAGTACTCTGATGTCCCGATTAAACGTACCGGTACGTTTATTTTTTCCGGCCCGAACGTCCACCCGGTACACTCTTATTAGGGACGGTACGTTTATTAATTTTTGGGAAGATTGTCCATACGTACCGCTGGCCGCACCATCAGCAAGTGGCCGGCGGCCGCAAAATTTGGCAACACGTCACAGATAAATATTTGGTCCATGATAGCGGCATTTCCCATGAATATAATGTATATTATTTATTTTTTGCCTGCTGTCCATTTTTAAGTCCCAAAACGTCTGAAATAGCAACAATTTGCCCACAAACCCGAAGGGGAAGGCGAGTAGCTAATCGACGTATTTAGCACATGGCGGCCGCAAGTCCTTGTCAAAATCGGCAACGCGGCAGAATAATGCCTGGTCCATTTTAGCGATATTTACCATGAAAAAAACGTATGTGGTTTATTTTCCCTCTGGTGTTAGTTTTTAGGTCCCGAAACCCCTAAAAAAGTAGAAATTTGCCCACAAGACGGACGGCCGACGTGGGGAGGGCGCCTAGCGCCTGAGCAGCATGACCCGTAAAAAGTCAAAGGTCATAGGGCACCCATATTGCGCAATCACCGTAAAAGCGCCGATTTAGCTACTTTTAGGGCGTTTAAAATTGATACAATCACATTATCGATTTTTAAAAAAACAATGAGATGGAAACCAATCAAAATTTTATGCTGAATAATATTTTTTTCTTCAAAAGTTTTTTTCTTCAGAAGTTTTTCTTCTTCAGAATCCAGACTTTGACCAGACTAGACAATGTACCATACCAAATAATTATTATGTTGAAATGGATTTTGTTGTACATATACTCATTAAACCCCTATATTTGTACTTAATTGGGCTTGATTTTCTATCTCTTAAGTTAGTCAGATTTTCAACTCAACTTGCAGGAGAAGGCTTAAGCAAAGTGCATTTCAGAAGTGTAAAATGCAATAGCTTCTCCTACGGATTTTGTATTTCCCCAAAACAAGTACAATATATATACTCATTAATTAAAGTGATATATACTCACTAATTAAATGTAACAGTGAAAGATTTGCTCATATATTGGTATTGAAATAAAGAGCACATTTTAGTATCATGGACACACAGTTCACCTGTCAATTTGGTCATTTTCCGGGGGGTACGTTTATTCCGGAGGGTATGTTTATTAGACTTTGAAGATTTGTCCAGGGGGTATGTTTATTCCGGGGGGTATGTTTATTAGGGACACGAGAGTAGCATGTTGGCAGAACGTATTGCACCTGCGCAAAATCCGATAATGTATTATGCATAGCACTCTGGCAGAATGTCTCTTATATAAGGGGGGTTTATCAGCCACACGTCCCGGCTTTTGGATCCGGAAAAGTCCCCCCGAATTTCCTGTCTACACTGCAATTATACAATGTAGTACGCCTGGGAGTGAACATAAAATAAGCAAAATAAAGTTGAAGTCATACAATACTTCCCAAAAAACAGGATGGGACTCACTTCGGGACAATTGAAATTTATTTTTGGGACAGTGCTGGGACAATAGGAAGAAAAGTTACAACATGTAATTTCGAGACCTGTATACACATGTACATAGTCCAGACATCTTGGCAACTGCAGTCGACTATGTCTACATGAACCCTCTTGATGGTTGTTTTTTAACAAGGTGGGTGGGAGGAATGTGGCATGAGACTAATTTTCTCCTACATCATGTTCATGCATACTATCAGAACAAAGGTCAGAATCACTAGCATGTCTGGCATGTATTTCAAATTTTGGATATTTGATACGAAATAGTTATGTTTTTGATGTTTGCAGGTTCATACTTACACGTAGAATCAATGAAAAAATGAAAGCATTACTGGAAGCCTAATTATGAATAAAATTATAGTCTGTGGAAAATTCCAGTCATTTTGCTCCAGCCACCAGGGACAATGAGGTTTGAAGAGCTATATCACTATCACTATCAATTGACAGTGGAGTGGGGTTTCAGTACTTGCCTTGGTGAGACCGAAACATAATTTGGGTTCCCATATCCTGGTATATGAGTTATTTCTTGATTATGTCTCCAATTAAGGGGATGGGAGATAGTGCTAACATATTAGGAGATCCCGACGATTCCCGAGAGGTGCGGTGCCTTTTGGGTTGCAGAGAATCTTCACTAAAATTCTTCCCTTATTTGCAATGTAGCTGTCACTGAATGATGTTAATCTCCAAGTAGAACTTTTGGTGGCTGCAATACAGTATCAAATTGGCTAGGCAGTGTCCAATATGCCACCCGTTTGGCTGGCAATAAAAGAAAAGATAGCAGTACAAAACAAAGCCTAATAAAAATGCCTAAAAACATGTCAAAAATAAGCTAAAGCCTAATTTATTTGGAGAGAGTAGAGTCAATTCCGCGTCACCGAGTGGGTTGTTATTGTCATTATTTAGAAATGTTTTGAATTCTTTGTAATTGTTTGTCTAATAAATTTCATAATTTGGAAATATTTTGAACATCTTGTCAATATTCTAAATAATTCCCTGGTTTTCTAAAACGTTTGAAATATTCCTGATGTGGATTATGACTTTTCCAATAGTTTCTAAATAAAACAGCACTCTACCATTTTTTACCATTATTTCGAATTATTTCTAACATTTTGTAAATAGGTCAGTGGGATGGGAAGGAAGTAATTCACACATCCCTGTGAAGTATCTGTATCTGTATAGCCGGTATAACCCGCCTTTCGGCGTAACACACCAGCTACAGGGCAGACTGCCTGGGTGTCAGGCATTGATGCCTTACAACAAAAGAGCCACCAGTGTCCAGCAGTGAAATCTAAAAATATACAGAGGAAGACAGAAGAGTAGGATTAGCACCTACTTTTATGGGGGCAATTACCCACATCTACCATTTGGTTATTTGTTTGAAATAGTTCTAAATATTTCGAATTGTGATAGAAACACATGGGTAGTTCAAATTTATTCTAAAGAAAGAGACCTTTGTACAGTCACATTCAAAATGTTTCAGAAATATATAAATGAATTCAAATATATTCAAATTTTCATTTTCAAATTTTTGAAAAATTTGGAACTTTTGTTACTGGGGTATTCTTTTCTTCTAAATAATTCAAACGTATTAGAAACATGGAGAAAAAACCCACTCGGTGACGCGGAATGGACTCTAGTATGATGTACTATTTTATCTATCATGAAGAAAAGACGCAAAGAATATGGTGTATGTGTATTGTAACATGATGACTGGAAGACTGCTGTATCTACATCTATGTGTAGAAGTGATCTACTCATGCCCGTAGCCAGGATTTTGAATGGGGGGATTCTTCCCACTGCTTGAGGGACCAGCGAGAACTTCCTATATACAGTAGGGGAGTTTGGGTGCATGCTCCCCGGGAAATTTTGAAAAATGAACCTTCTGAAATGGCATTTCCAGATCAGAGATAACTTTATTCAATGACAAAGTGAGCAGTTTTCCTAAAATTCCAGTCTCCCTGGTGACACGAATCAGTCCATCTTTTAAAGAAAAATCTTGGACCTTAGATAAAAAGTGGACTTTTGAGCCTTGTGGTGGGGGTTCGTCCGATATGGGCATGCTTAGTGATGCATACCTAAACCTAATTTTAGGTTCAGGTCCGGATTCAAGTCCAGAGGTTTAGGTTCAGTTCCGGACTTGTAAGTCCGGACCTAAACCCATGGCATATACAAAATTGCATGTTGGCAACCTTGAAATGTTGTCTGGGTGAAACTTTGGCCACATAACATGGAGGCCAGTACTTGATGATGCCCGATGGCAATGTTTTCTTCGTTTTGTAGCAAAGATTTTACAATCTACGGAAGGTTTTAGGTGGTTTGGAAAGAAAAGGGGTATGTGAAATGGTCTTTTATGGTAATAAGTCCGGACTCGGTTCTTGACTTTTAGTTTTTTTTGGACTTGAACCTAAACATTCTTACAAGTCCGGATCCAAGTCCAGTGAACCGGTATGCATCACTAGGCCGCATGCTACTGGTTGTGCCCAAGAAAGGAGTGTGAAATGCCAGGATGGGTCACTCTCACTGTCACAGTACCAATTTACAATTATGGAAAGTCATCCTTGGGGACTTACAAAGTAGGAGCGCAGTCATGTCTTATTTAGTAAAGGATGTGCCCTCCACAGTTGTCATCATCTATTGGGTCCTTCTGTCAAGCTTCTCCTTATAGGATTAACATAATTATCATCCACTTTATGGTCAGGATAGGCTTTACACCCAGTTTACACGGCGCCAAAATCCTTGCGTACGAAAATTGCGCACGAAAATTGCGTACGCAAGGGTTTTCCCTCCGTGTAAACCGGCCCAATTTGCGTACGCAACTTTCGTACGAAATTTTCGTACGCCACCTCTAGAGGTGGCGTACGATCAGCGGCTCGCCCAGCGGGCAGTCTCCGTGCCTCCCAGCCTCATGTAAAACAGGAAAGAACCCCTTTCTTGTTGCAAATTCCATTCTTTTCCCACGTTTGTACCAGCCACGCTGTGTTTACTTGTTCAATTCTCTGTGTTTCATTTCGTTTTCCTCTCCCTTTAATTCTCACAATAGTGTGGGACGGGGCGCAGCGGGAGTCCTCTTGCTCTCCGTGTCGTTGTATAAACAGAAATGAACGTACGCTCGCGTGCGTACGCAATTTTCGTACGCAAGGATTTTGTCGCCGTGTAAACCGGGTGATAGACTCCCACACTCAGTCACAGTCACACACAGATACTTTGCAACTGCTTACCAAAGTATTAACAGTAGTAATGATAGTAGCTGTACATATTAAAGTATGAAGAGAGAGAGTTTTTTAGTGTTCAGGGCAATGAGAATGTTAGCAGAACGTACTGCGCCTGCGCAAAACCCTGATTTTCACGGTTTTCGTTGGATTGGTCAACGTTGCATCAGAATTTTACCTGTTGCAGACAATATCATTTCTGACACAACATTTGGAAACTACAGACGGGATGTTATCCTTATATACGTGAATACAAATTTGAGACGTTCTGACAAAGATTACAATACTGGTTTCGTGCAGTTGCGGTATGTTCCACGGACATGCTACTGGCAATACACTATCCACATTTATTGTATAACTTTGTTATATTTCTCACTGTGTCTTATGCACAGGTGACTACATATATCTAATTGTCTGTATTTAATCATTGTGTTAACAGTTCTCCAAGGCCAGTCTTCACTCCGGTGAATGGGAAGAAGAAAGAGAGAACAGTCTCACCAGTTCACCAACAGGACCAGACCCCAGAACACCAGTATAACGTCAGATACTTGTATGACAGTAAGTATATATAGCAGTGTACAAAATACTTTTTTGAACCACTGCAAAAATTAGGTTGCCCATCAGAATTTTAGGTTGCTCCACCTATAAGTTACAACTTTCCTCAAATTAAGTAATGTTACATACATAAGCCTTTGACAATATTTCTAACAGCCTTTAGCTAACTGATACTAGTAATAGCCATTAATACTTAAAATTAAAAAGCATCTGCCGGATACAGTGGTGCAAGCCAAGTGGGCATGATTTCGTGGGGGGGGGGGCATTCTTAAAATTCAGGTAGCACACTGGGCTACCTAGGTTCAAAAATAGGTTGCCCCAAGTAAAATTTGGTTGCTCACCGGGGCAACCAGGTATTTTGCACGCTGAGTAGACACCATCATTTGAGAATTTAAGACAAGGACGGATTGTGATGTCTTTGTGTATATTGTCTATTGTGTGTTTGTGTATGTTGCATAGATAGTACCATGCAGTAAGTGATCAGAAATTGTCAGGTTTAAAGTGAAAACTTCTGTTCCAACACAAAGAAATGTTCTCACCTCGAGCTTTCGACCAGTCACTCTGGTCTTCCTCAGTAGACTGACCCAGTGAGACTTGTCATGTGGCTTCTCTGAAGTGTGATGTCAACTCTGGATCAAAGGAACACGTTGGCAGAACATACTGCACCTGCGCGAAAGCCATAATGTATTGTGCATAGCACTTTGGCAGAACGTCTCATATAAGGTCATATTCGCGTATTAAAGGTTAACATCCCGTCTGTAGTTTTCAAATGTTGTGTGGGAAAAGATATCCTCTGCAACAGGCAAACTTCTGATGCAACGTTGACCAAACATCCAACGAAAACCGTGAAAAAATCAGGGTTTCACACAGGCGCAGTACGTTCTGGTAAATGATTTAGTCTCAGAAAGAGGTGTTTAACTCTTTTTTTTTCTTGTCTCTGTAGTTTGGAGAAGAGTCGAGCGGGAGGAACAGGAGGACAGGGATAAAAATCATGGTAAGGGAGTTTCCTAAACTGTCCTGTCAAGAAATATAACACCAATGGTGCTGTGACTAAACTAATAAATGTGAAAAATACAAAGGATTTGAGGACTGTGTGTTGAAATTCATCTTTTCCATATTTTCAACCTGTTCAATTAGCCATAAAATTTCGACATTTGTAAGTGAAAACCATACTTCCTTAATCTCAAACTTTTGTTCTTTTGCAGGCACCAAATATTATGTAGAGTCAGAGAAACCCAATCCTGCACTAGAAAGTAAGTAAAGGTTGACAGTAATATTGGTTGATAGTATTACATGTAGTACTGTTAGTTGTGTCTACCAAATATAATTTGATTTCAGTACAGATGTCTTTTGACTCTTCTATGATCAGAGGAGCAATGTACCAATTGTATATGTACATTTTTGGCTTCAGTGCCCTAAGAATCTTAAAACCAAATGATCTGAAGGTCATTTTTACTAAAAATCTCGAGCTCCAAATTGTTTTTTTTTTTTTTTTTAAATCTGTTACGGAAAAGAACTACATGGGGTTTATTAACAACGAAAAGCACTGTATGGGGGTTTCGAGAACAATTGTTGCGAACTAAGGGTATTGAAACACTTGATACTGGACGGAAAAGGTTGATATGGAACAGTCCATTGTGGAATAGGGAGGGATTAACTGAAATATGCTGTATTTGCTCCCGAGCAAATGTCAGCCTTTCTAGTATGTCAATAATTATTATGTTGTCAGATACATTATAATTGTATTATTGTGAACATTCGTAATTTGATATATTTCAGAAAATGAATATGTCAGCAGTAATTCTGTTTTCATACACGAAAAATCCACTATTATATGCACAACGAAGTTATTTTATTTTTTCTTGTCTTTCAGATTTTGTTCCATTCGACTTGGAACAGTTTTGGGCCAACAAGTTCTTACAAAGTGTGAAAGAGTCATCCTGATAACTGTATAGTGTGTGTTTGGTAGCAGTCTTCTCCCATGTGTACTGTTCTGCCACGAAAATAATGTGTACTTGTCTCAAAGTGTACTACTTCATTTTGTCTTGTACAAAGAGAAAAGAAAAAAGTTTAAAAACATAGACAAGCAATACCTAGAATTTTATGTTCAATGTTGTCTGGATACCTATAAGGTGTTGTATTGTAGACAATATTTGTTATTTCATGAATAGCAGTTAGGGTCTACTCTCCAAGCAGAGGTTTGGGTTTTAGGTTATTTTTGGCGTGTTTTTAGATTCTTTTTTGCACTGAAATTTTTTTCACCCAAAAAAGTCCACGGCAAAAACGAAACCCCGATAAAAAAGCCTTAGAAACATGCCCAAAATAACCCAAAACCCAAACCTCTGCTTGGAGAGTATTAGAGTCAATATTTCAGATTACATACTAAATAAAACTAGGACCTACTATCTGTACTATGCTGAACCTAGAACATCATTGAATATGTAAATTGTGCTTTTGTACTAATTTGACTCATTACTTTATTGCTAAGCAAAGTAATAAATGACTGATAGAAGTAACAATACATACATGTAGGAAGTACATAGATGCTCTTTATTCAGATTTGAATTGTACAGCTGAGGGAGTAACAAAATAGGTTTAAAATAGAGCAGAGAAATAAGTTGTATGTACAGGCATTGTTGGTCTGATTTCAAACATCCTTTCCCGTGTATGATACATTTTTAAAATGTCTCTGGGTTTTTTGTGATGTGCTGTACCAAATGTCTTGTCTTTGTTTTGAAATGTATAAATATGATCCTCATGTAAAAGCTATCCTGGAATTCTTGTGATGATTATTTTACTGTTCTGTATGAAAAAAAACATTATTGCTATCCCTTTTTGATAACCCTTGTCCTGCTGGCATTTGTTGGACAATATTTTTAAATAATTTGATGTCTTAATCAGGTCATAGACCCTTGACTTTTTTTGCCCTGCGGTGGCATAGTTACTTCGCATTTGCTGCGTTTTTCTGTAGTGTGATGCGTTGCTTGAGAAATATCCCCAAATCGTACATATACAGGGCGCTATATAGATGGTACTGTATGTGCAACCCAAATACATGTATATATATATATGGGCGCCGCAGGACAAGGGTTTTTTTAAGTTGTAGACATTTCTGACGGTTTTTGTGTTTTTTTTTTTACATAGCTCACCATCAATACATTGATGACATAGTGTGGAAAGGCACATAGTATACATAGATTTTTACCATCATTTGGCCATCTGACAAAATAGCAATTTTTTTCACATTTTAACACGTTACATGTATAGAGAGAGTTCTCTTTCCAATGTATTGAGTTATCTTTCCAATATGTTTTATATTTCCCTGATTAACTTGTTCTCTAATATCGTCAAGCTAGTACAAAAGTCTCCTGGAACAATCTTTGTATTATTGAATGTACAATGCATGTTCAAATGTTTTGTGTTATATAGGTTTGGATTGTAGCAGAAAACTTCCCAATAACGAATTACCACACATTCAATAAGGCTTCCATAGATGCACTTTCTTACAAAAACACTTGGCATTTGCCACCTGGGATATCGAGGAAAAACTTGAACATTATAGACATCTAGAACATTATTTATTCCTTGCTCTTAATAATACTATCAGTAAGCTACATCTTATCTCAACCCTGAACTGGTTCGTCTAGGCTCCAGGTCCAGCTAGAGCAATAATATTTTTTTTAGAGTCATCCTAACCTGGTACCCAGTCTATCGCGGTTGCGGCGGATTTTCTTCGGGGCTGCTGAAGCTCTTCCCCGCCCGCCTCAGCTAGGTTCTCCGGTAGGTTTTTCACGATGGTAGATCGTGGCGTACAATGTACAAAACTCCTAGCCTACAGGCGCTACAGGCGTAACATTCCTAACCGGGCGATCTGTTGAGCTGGACGGGGTGAAAACTATTTAGAGCCCCGAAGACAGCCTGCCCCAAGCACGATAGACTGGATACCAGGTTAGAGTCACCCTGGTCATACTGCCGCATTTACGATCTTGATTAATATATAAGAAGCTGAAATGAATGCTACCCATCTCCCCATAGTGTATGACCATTACATGGTTGCTTTTAATGTGCTTGAGTCTTTGAGATGAAAAAAAACAACAACAGTGGTCTTGGCTAAAATGTGCAACTATCTTCACATTGATAACAACTATTACTGATGAGGCTACAACCTACATGTAGTGCCCTATTGCCACAGTGTAAGCTTTTAATTATGTTTACCTTCGCAGAAGGAAAACATTGTTTTTGCTCTGTTTCTTCTTCCTCTTCTTCTCCAAACAAATAAGGTCAATGACCTGAACCAGACGTCTGTCACCATGGTGACTGGTGTTGGGTTACACCATGTTGCAATTTTCTAGCAGGAGGGATTTAGACGTCTGTCACCATGGTAACTAATGTTGGGTTACATCATGTTGCAATTTTATAGCAGGAGGGATTTACACTCCTGTCACCAAATACATATGAATCTGTTTGAGTAAGAATTAACAGAGCAGACCATATGCGAAGGTAAACATTTTGCATTTGCTTTGCATTTACAAGACTATCGAAAATCATGCAGTTTAAAGTCTTGCGACTTTTATCTTTATCAGAACATGAACTCATTTGAAGTGCGACTACTCATCACGGGTTCTTTGCTTTTTGGCGACCCGCCGGTGACGACAAACTTTGAGGGAGAATTCACGATGGTAGTTGGCTTGCCTTCATTGATACGTGGGCCGTTTTGCTGTTGTTGGTCACTCTTTCTGGGTGGGACACTGCCGGCGTGCTTGTCTTCCGTGTTGGTCACTAAGTCGAGAACGGTGGTCAGCGAGGAGGGACTTTCACAGCTTGGCCCGTTCGCAGACGGCGTCCCCGTACTCGAGTCTTTGTCTCCCGGTCTCAAACTACTATCATTCGTTGTTGTTGATTTGTTAGTGATTTCGTCGTCAGATTGCGAGTGGAGTTCCAACACGCTAGCCAAAATGTCCGGTTCATCTTTGGTTGTCTCCTTACTCTCCAGTGTAGTACTAGCTTCCTTCGCGTCCGACGTTCTGCGTGTCAGTGACGACTGGTCATCACCACTCGTTTCCGACGACTTGGGCTTGTCCACTCCCCGTTTTCTGGCCTCAGCCGCCACCTGCTGCCCGATAGTGGCTAGCGGGATGACGGTCCCCTTCAGGAAACGCGAACTGGAAACTTTTGCCGCCGCCGTTTTCTGTGATAACAAAACCGAAAATTCACATTATGATCGCTCTCCAAACATGTATATGAGAGCATATCATCATTAAACATGTATTCTGCCCCTACGTCCCATTTTTCAGTGTCTTTGCACCTATTTTCCTATTGAAAGATTGTTAGATTATTCATGCCACAGCGTACAAGGCCCAAGTACAAAGCGTCATGGAATGTGCATCATTATGTTGGATGGGGGCTTCTACATGTATCTCATCGCTAAAAATTTTTGACTCCGAAAAAAGCATTACGCATCATAGGTGTAAACGAACATGAAGTCAGAATTGAACTAAACATCCCATCACTACTCCACAGGTTGACGCCAGGTGGCCACTGCTTCTCTGATCTTCAAAATGCCCACCAGACCTACAAAAGATGCTTCCCCAACCATACACAATCAGACGCACAACTCGCAACAGTCTCTCCACAGGAAAACATGCCCTCACTGTGCCAGTCTCTAGAACTCACTCCACCGGCAGAACTTGCATACATACTGCAGTACACATCTGGAACAGTCTCCCAGACAACGTGGTCGGCCTGATCACTGACAACAACCTCCAGTCATTCAAAAGAAGAGTACACCGGCATCTTCTTTCCACCATCAGACAGAAGAAATCAGACAGAAGAAAGATGTCTAGACTATGCATGATGTACAAAATGACTAATAAACTGGTGGATGTCCCAACTACTAAGTACCTAATACCAGCTCAGAAGAGAACAAGAAATAGCCACGCATTCAAGTACCAGAGTTATCAACCAAGGATTGAGGTGTTCAAGAATTCATTCTTTCCTAGAACTATCGCAGAGTGGAACTCACTGTCACCAAGTACAGTAGGGGCACTGTCAATAGATAGCTTTAAACAATGTCTAGAGCTAGAAGTTCAAGGGTTAGGTGTAACAAGTCGATCGGTGTAATATAGCCAGCTGCCGCCGCGCCGCGTGCCTGCGAAGCTGGTGTGTTACGCCGAAAGGCGGTTATACCGGCTATACAGATACAGATACAGATCAGGACTTCTACATGTAGGTAGAACCTTGTAGTTGCTGTAAACCAATGATAAGCCAGAAGAGCTACATTTGTAGTGTTTATATTAGCACATTATAGAAAAATGCCTTGTTTAATGGTGATACAATAAATTTCATATCGTTCCAAAGATCTTTTGAAGTGGGTTTACCTTGTAACTCTTGCTGAAGTCGTCCAACATGCCGAAGAGTTTGTCTGGGTCTGTCATCTTGTAGTTCTCCCCGAACATGGCGCACACGTCCCTGTACGCGTCCTCCATCTGCCGGAAACTGTCCACGGCAGTCCACACGGCCTGGACGTTATCCTTGTAGAAGGCGTGAGGAAGAGTTAAGAAAGTACCAGTAATGTTGGAAAACAATAATCTCTAGCTGAGCAATTAATAGTCTGTATAGCCGGTATAACCGCCCTTCGGCGTAACACACCAGCTTCGCAGGCACGCGGCGCGGAGGCAGCTAGCTATATCACACCGAACGGCTTGTTACACTCAATCTTTGCACATTTGATTGCAGGAGTTGTTTAAAGCTTTCTAGTGATGATGCTCTAACTGTGCTTGGTGGCAACGACTTCCAGTCTACGATAGTTCTGGAGAAATACGAGCTGGTAGTCTCCACCAGGCCTTTCTACGGGAATACGAATCGTAGAATTCGGCAAAAAAGAGAGTCAAGGGATTGTCTATGGATGACATCTTCTGGGAACCCCAAAACTGATGCGAGCGTGTGAATAAAAAAAGTTTGGCAAAAAAAAAGTTGCTTTCAACATGAAATCTATGTGGTCACAATGGTTGAACAAATGACATAGAGTAATCTACTCTACAAATTCTTTCTTTACATTTTCGTCTTTTTCATTTGATTTTGGCATTCTACGACATTGGTATCGTTTTCTGGCGATTTTTTTTTCAACTTTTCAACGGTATATATTTCCTTCTTTTGCAACTGTCTTGTACAATGTACAGTATGGTTGAAAACGTTTTTTTAAACGGCCGAAAATCGATTCGTGCGTGGATGTCATCCATATAATCAAATCAACATAGCCTAGGTAGATTTAAGATAAAGTAATAAAATAATTTGCACGGGAAAAAGGATATGGCTACAGCGGCGTTGTCAGGTTCGTTCTCACGGATCTGTTTAGCCGCCTCCATGCCTCTCCTCAGGGTCTGGACGTCCAGCGCGACCGCCTGGAACGATACTGGGGAAACAAACATCGATGTTAGCATAAAAGTTCAGGCCGCCAGGCTATAAAACCCACAATTACAGTCATGAGACTGGGATCCGTTGTAGTCAAAGTTGTCGGCTTCCACTTCTGGTTGACCTCTAATTCTATTTTTTTTCATGAGCAAAGAAACATCCCACCGACGTACAACAGATTCAACTTTTTGGCCCAAATTTGCCATTGTTATTGAATAGCATAGGGAACAGGTTGTGGACCCTTGTAGTGATTTTAAATATCTTAGTTGTAACAACACTTTATTGAGACATGAAAAACTGATTTGCAATGCTCTGGCTCACATCGTGTATTGCGCTTTGTCGTTTCTTTCCAAAGAGAGTGTAGAGTCAGATTGTGTTTATTGCATGCTTTGACATTTGGTGCCAAGAAATGCGTTACCTTCTTTAGCCAGTTCGATCTGCATGTCCTCATAGAACAGATGCGCGTCGGGAAATTTCTTCTCCACGATGTCCACAAGAAAGTCCAGAAGCGTCTTCGACTTGTCAGGTGTTCTGACCTCTTTCAGCTGTTGAGAGGTAACAAATATATATTAGGTTCATATTCAAAGTTAAAAAGTTAAAACTTTAGATCCAACACAATAAAATTCTCTGACCTAGAGAATATTGGACACTAAACAAGACTATTTTCTGAGAGGGGTGAAGGAGGCTATTTACATCAGGGCCCATCACCCTTCACTCAACCACGACGGGGGCCGACATTGTCTACCAGATACCTTTGACCCAGTGTTGGCGTCACACTTCAAAGAAGCCACGTAACAAGCTTCACTGGGTCAGTCTACTGAGGAAGACCAGAGTGACTGGTCAAAAGTTCTACGTGAGAGAACTTTACTGTGTTGGATCTAAAGTTTGAACTTTAAACATGTAACTACCAACACGGATGAACTTTCATCATGGTCTTAGAGTCAGGTAGCCAGAAATCCAGCCCCGATCATTTGCCTGAAATCCTGCCTTGTTAGGTAATGGTCCACTTCGATAAGTGTTGGCGGGGAGCGAATTTTTGGGAGCGGACCTTTAACAAGGCTGAGGATCAGGTTTGTCTAAGAGGCCATCAATTACCACTGTTCAACTTCAAATGTGTGCATTCGTCATTCCTTTATGTAAGGACATCAACTGCCTCTTCCATCTGTAATGGTGGAACATCATATGCATTGCTGTGAATTACTAGTACTATTGCCATATCTACATTAGGCAGACATTGTTACTGCTTTTTATGGGTTCACCACACCACGAAGTGGTGTGGTGAAACCATATTGCTTTTTCTGATGTTTCTTCTCCTTCTCCTTCTTCTCCTGCCATTTTTTAAATGGATTCAGCTTCTTCATTTTAGGGCCCAAGGTCCTGAAATTTGGTATGGAGGTACAGTGGGCAAATACCCCTAGGCGTTTTTTAAATTATTGTGATACAGGCTTTTAGAATGGTTTTATTTGAGTTTTTTGGCTGTGTTATAGCAAATGTATTACTGTGTTAGTCTGCCTTGTTTACCACGTTTGGGCATGAGTCATCAGAATGGAATGCAGGGCATCAACCAATAGGCATGCAGCTTTCCTCTATACTTCTTGCTGATTGGCTGTTGGGATTTAACTTGATTAACACCTGCACAGAAGCATTTCCATACTGACAGTATGTCTGTATTCAAGTGTTTTGGTAGGTATTTCAAGCTTTCCTGCTCCAGCATTGGAATGCCGGGCATGGTACGTTTTTTTTTATTTTGAACATCAACAGTTTGCATTATGCAATTAAAAATCCTAACCAATAAAGTAGGGAATAGCTATCCAACTGTTGTTTTAGTTGTATTTTACTTCATATTATAGTTATATCAATGTAAATCATTGTTTTCCCTTGTGTTTCTCATTCTTTCCCTGCCGTGTCGTAAAATGTGGTGAACCCATCGCTGTATTTGCTCCAAAGCAAATATTGGCCTTTCTAGTTTTAATTACCTTCTCCAAAGACTCGAGTCTGAACCCACTGGCAGGGTTACGTCTGTGCCCGTTCATCTGGTTTCCCAGAGCCAGGATTACCTGTTAAAGCAGACGGTAAATTTTAGCAAGAATTGTACCTCTTTGAACACTGTTCAGTACTGTTCTGAAGCAAAATTTGGAAAGATATAGTTTACTGGATTAGACAACAAGTTAACTTCGCCGGTTAAATGAACTTTCACAATGTTATTTTTGGTATCCTTGGAAAATTTGCCCTTATTGTAAATACATTTTTTTACTTGCAAGAAATGTATGTTTTTCAAAATAGAAAGTCCAAATTAGCTTCTTTAGAAGGTTTCATTAATCTTGTTAGACATTTTTGTAAGGTGGAATACATTAATCATTTGAAAAGTTAAAAACATTTGCAATTGGGGAAATGGTTAGCATTACAAAATCATCTTATTAGTTAATTCGTTTGCAAAAAATAATTTTGTACCTGTATTTTTAAGGCCAGGGAGGTATATCAACAGTCATTGATGGTAACAACCCAAGTTCATAATGTACCACACAGTGTAACAGTTTCAGTTTGAGATGAAAAACGTTGGAAATGTCGTACCTCAAACAGTTTGCGGAGCCTCCAGCTGCTTAGTACACAGAGGGACGCTTCAGACACTATCTGGATATGCTGCAATTAAGATAAATTTACAATAGATATCAAAAATAAGAAGGTAACATTTCCAAAGCAAATGCAAAATGTTTACCTTCGCATATGGTCTGCTCTGTTAATTCTTACTCAAACACATTCTTATATATGATATGGTCAGACAAGAGTCTAAATCCCTCCTGCTATAAAATTGCAACATGATGTAACCCAACACTAGTTACCATGGTGATAGAATGGCTCAGGTCATTGATCATATTTGTTTGAGGAAGAAGAGGAAGAAGAAGCAACGGAGAAAAAACATTATGTTTTCCTTCTGCAAAGGTAAACCTAACTCGTACCCATCTGAAGCTCATGTGATGCATATAGCAAATGGGTACCGCATTCCTAATAATTTCAAATGTTAAAAGTTAAGCTTAGTATAGTGCACAGCAGTACAGATTGTGCAAGTGTTACAACTTGCAATTTGCATAAAACGACTAATTTTACACAAACTAAAAGACATTTAGTCTATACACACTACTTCTAGTGAATTACTTCTTTATTTTAGAATGCTATAAATTGACATTCCACTCACTGCATTTGTGGTCTGTAGGAGTTCACTCAATTGTTCCTGGAAGGCCATCTGGCGTAGATGCAAGTCGTACCCTTCGATTTTTGTTAACTGTAAAGAAGTTGGCAGAAAATAATGAGAAGTGGTGTAAACAATCACTGTAGTACGTAAATAATTTCATCAGGTTGGTAAACGACTGAATAGCAAAGTTCTTTCTATCACAACCATTTAAAGCCGACGTTTCGATGACCTGTCATCTTCATCAGGGCAATTCTGACTGGTTTACTGTGCACTGACACTAGATGTTACTTGGTGCATAGTGCACTAAAAGGTGTTACATAATGTATTGTATTGTAAACAGAAAAAACTAGCTTAAGTGCACTATGAACTATGTAACACCTTTAGTGCACTATGCACCAAGTAACATCTAGCGTCAGTGCACAGTAAACCAGTCAGAATTGCCCTGATGAAGATGACAGAAGGTCATCGAAACGTCGGCTTGAAAAAATAAATGGTAGTGATAGAAAGAACTTTGCTATTCAGTCATTAGCATGAAGTAGAGACTACAAGTCGTGCCCATATGAATCATGAGTATGCAAATAAAAAGGACAGTAAGAATGTTCCACATACCTCATAGAAGTACTTTTCTGCCTCACCGAAACGATTGTGCCTGTCTGCATGTTCCTTCAGCAGTGTGATCTGTAACAGACCAAAACATTTGTCAATCAAAGCACAACATGGAAATTCAAATTATGTATATCTATATGTCTATATCAATGATATGGTTCAATTAGTCATTCATTCATTTGACAAAAAGCAGTTACTCAAGCAACTGGATATGATTTTGGAAACGGTCAGACGTTTCAGCTAGTATCCACTAGCTTTCGTCAGTGACTGAGAGACCAGAGGGGAAATGCAGGTTTATAAGCACGAACTATTGATTGAATTATTACTGATGAGTACAGCGATTGTTTCAATCAATAGTTCGTGCTTATAAATACTCTATTTGTCCTCGGGTCTCTTAGTCTCACTGATGAAAGCTAGTGGATGCTACCTGAAACGTCTGACAGTTTCCAAAATCATATCCAGTTGCTTGAGTAACTGCTTTTTGGCATATCTTATTAAATGGATGTTAAACCTTCACCGACGCATTCATTCATTCATTCATTCATTCATTCATTCATTCATTCATTCATTCATTCATTCATTCATTCATTCATTCATTCATTCATTCATTCATTCATTCATTCATTCATTCATTCATTCATTCATTCATTCATTCATTCATTCATTTTACCCACCTCATCTTTCCTGGGGAGGTACTTGAGCAGAAGTTCGGCATTCTCCCCCGGCAGGACGGAAGTGTCGCACACCCGGATAGCCCTGATGATGTCAGGCGTCGGCCGGCCCACCCGTCGCAGGGTGATTTCTGTCAACAACGTCAACAAATGATTTCTGTCAACAACGTCAACAAATGATTTCTGTCAACAACGTCAACAAATATCCCCCATTGAGGAGGTCTCTAAAAGCCAGGTTTCAAGAACATACACGGCCTAGATCTGCCAGTTCAGAGGTGTCTCAACACATCCACATAGAGTCAACCGGACATTTTGTTTCACTTGACACTGTAAGGATCTTAGACACTGAACAAGACTATTTCTTGAGAGGGGTGAATGAAGCCATATACATCAGGGCCCATCATCACCCTTCATTGAACAGCGACGGAGGCCGACATCGTCTACCAGATACCTTTGACCCAGTGTTGACGGCAAAGAAGCCACGTGACAAGCCTCACTGGGTCAGTCTACTGAGGAAGATCAGAGTGACTGGTCGAAAGCTCTAGGTGAGAGAATTTTTTGTGTTGGACCAAAAGTATTAACTTTAAACATGTAACTACCAATACAGATGAACTTTCATGATAGTCAACAAATATCATTATAAAACAAGTTTGAACTTCAAGTTCCAACACCAGAAAAGAAATTGGGCCACGGTGAGTATCGAACCCCGGACCTCTCGGTTCGGGTCCAACGCTCTAACCGTTGCGCCACCGACGCCACTATATGAAGAGGATAAGTAAGTAAGTAAGTAACAGTTCAACAACTTACCGACATTCTTGGCTCTGTTCTGGTCCACTAACATCAGCTTGGAAGACGATGCTTTCCGCCCTGACGGTGAGGTGACTCCCGGCGGTGGAGGGGCAGGGGGTGGGGGGATGGAGGCGCCTCCCGGGGGTCGGGTTGGGGTACCCTCGGGCTTGAGTTGAAAGGCTGCCTCCAGTTCGGCAATGTCCGCCTCATCCAGGACGGAGTCCGGACTCATTGTCTGTTGAAGAAATAAAATCATGGAGCGAGTTAATAAAAAATGTCTATCTCTTGTACTACGGACCAAGAAGTCCCGAGTTCGAATCCCGAAATGCCAATGATCTTGTAGCCTTGGGAAAAGGCCTTTACACGACTCTCAGGTGAAAATGAATATTGTCGCCAACAACGTTGCGTTGGTGGCGGCATAAAAATAAGTTGTAAAAACTTGACTGTGCCGTCACCGTGTTTTGTGTTCAATGTTGGAATAAAAAAACTTAAGAAGAAAATAACCTCGTAATTAGTCTGGAAGCCATCCGTTTTTTTTGGGTAGCGAGTGCAAGGAGCCGCGTTATAAAACGGATGGCACCCAGGCTAGTTAGTCATCAGTGTAGGCTGACATCCCTTTGAATGGCGTAATAGCACCAAGGACAGGGCATTTTGTCGATAATTCGCGTCCATGTACACACATGTAAATACTGCCAGAAATCAGACAAATGCCATACATTACCACACTAACCACACGGGGAAGCTTTCTGTATCTGTTTCTGTATAGCCAGTATAGCCGCCCCTCGACGTAACACTCCAGCTTCGCAGGCACGCGGCGCGGCGGCAACAGGCTACATTACACCGATCGACTTGTTACACCTAACCCTTGAACATCTAAACATTGTTTGAAGCTACCTAATCCAGATTTAAAACATGTAGTGCGTTATCTTGGGTTATACATGAATGTAGATAAAGATTATCTTCAATTTTTTTACCTTGAATATTGAACTTCCCACCGAGTCCAGGGTGCTCCAGTTCAAAGTTGGGAGGTTGACTTTAGGGGTTTCCTTTTCGTCGTTTGCCATTTCTGTGTACCAGAACAATGTGAAATATCAAACATCAATTGTTGTTGTTGTTGTTGTTGTTGTTGCTGGCTTCAAACATCAATATCATGTCATGAAATAACAGATATCACGTTAATCAATGACAATGGAAATTGGTGATTGATAATCGTCAAATTATGAAACAATATATGTCTGATAGACACTAGTATTGGTATTATTATGTTTATCGAAGGATAACATAATATTGTTTTTGCTCTGTTTCCCCTTCTTCTTCAAACCAATAAGGTGAATGACCTGAACCAGACGTCTGTTACCATGGTAACTGGTGTTGGGTTACATCATGTTGCAATTTTATAGTAGGAGGGATTTAGATCCTATATACGAATGCTTTTGAGTAAGAATTAACAGTGAAAGCAGAACATTATGCATTTGCTTTGAAAATGTTACCTTCCTAGTTGCAATTTGCCTCTTGAACTCTAAAGTGTTCGATTTGTGCCCAGGGTGTTCGTGTTTTTTTTTCTTTTTGCTTTATTGTGTTATCTAACAGTCTCGTATGCGTGCCAGTCTCATAATCTCAAGGTCGTGAGTTCGATCCCCACACGTGGCAAATATTTTTTGTGTGTGTTTTAATTTCATATATATCACATGCAGAAGTAGAGAACATAGAAAACATTATTATTACATGTGTTTTAATGCATATTCATATCACCAGTCACGAGTCACAGTCACGAGTATTTTGTTCTCAAGCCAAATGCACTTTTTCTGGGCGTGACTTACCACAAAATTGTCTGAAGCTACATATAAATATAAGACACATAGGCATCAATCACGATTCAAGTCTAGTTTATTGGTATTTCTTCTCTATTCGTACTACAGTGTGTGTGTGTCTGCTAACATACGGTACGTACCCAGCAATGAGGACATGCTTTTCGATCTCCTCTCACCGAAATAATTGGATCTTGTGGTGGAAAAGCCGTCGGGTAGAGGCGGCGGGCGTGGAATGTTAACCGTAGGTCTCGGAATAGCTGCGAGCAAAATGGAACAAAAACGAATATTCATCTCAGTCGTAACATTAACACTATGCCTTTTCCTCCCATTTTGTACGACGAGTATTCGTGGCCCTGAAAATCTTTCTGGTGAAATATACTCCGCCATTTTGTTATAGAAGCTTTTGGAACCTCCCTAAATGCGGGGACGATACGTTAAAGGGTTTAGGGGTGGGCGGAAAATAGCGTTTTGGTAAATAACTGATGCCAAAAGTGAGTATTCGGACGTATTGCCACCGCGTTATGTTTATAAATGAACCGCACCCACGCTCCTAAATTACATTTCTTCGCCTAGCCTTGTATGACGTCTGTTTCTCCTTTTCCCCAAAATACACCAAAAATACATATATTACAAAAATTTATATAAATATAAGATTTTCTCCCACAGTATTACGTTTCCTAAACAATAACAAGAAAATAAAGGCTTGTCCGTCTATCACAACACACATGTATAATGTAATAAAATGCTATACGCATAATCACGATATAAGTTGCCTTGCTCATTTGTACAATGCAGAACTGTAACAGTTTATTCATAAAAAACAGCCTCGCAGCCTGTACAAAAACATGCTGAATAACACTGATTTTTGACAGTTACTTGTCTGGCAAATACAAATTAACATTGCAATACATATACAAACACGCGAACAAAAACATTACAAAAAGCCTCACATGGGCACTAAAGTAAAGACCAGAGAGTCCAAAGAGTCTTACTGCGAAGAACCGTACTTTACCCGTTGTCATTCCCCGTTGTTTCAAGCAAATACTAAGGTTGAGTTGTTTGTATACGTTACTTGTTCGTCTATCACAGCACACATGTAACGTCATATGTAATAATGCTATACGCATAATCACGATATAAAATTGGCATGGTCCTCTGTACAATGCAGTAAACTGTAAACGTACTTACCCGTTGTCATTCCCCGTTGTTTCAAGCAAATATTGAGGTTGAGTTGCTTGTATACGTTGCTCGTTCGTCTACCACATACACACAGCATACATGTATATGTAATAAAATACTATACGCATAATCACGATATAAAAGTGTCCTTGTTCCTTTGTACAATGCAAAACTGTACTTACCCGTTTTCATTCCCCGTTGTTTCAAGCAAATATTGAGGTTGAGCTGTTTGTATACGTTGCTAGTTCGTCTACCACATACACACAGCATACATGTATATGTAATAACATGCTATACGTCTCATCACGATATAAAATTGGCCTTGTTCTTTTGTACAATGCAGTACTGTACTTACCCCGGGTTGCCATTCCCCGTTGTTTCAAGCAAATTGAGGTTGAGTTGTTTGTATACGTTGCTAGTTCGTCTATCACAGCACACATGTATATGTAATAAAATTCTATACGCATAATCACGATATAAAATTGGCATGGTCCTTTGTACAATGCAGTACTGTATACGCACTTACCCGTTGTCATTCCCCGTTGTTTCAAGCAAATTGAGGTTGAGTTGTTTGTATACGTTGCTAGTTCGTCTACCACATACACACAGCATATAGTACACAGCATACATGTATTATATATTAAAATGCTATACGCATAATCACGATATAAAAGTATCTTTGTTCCTTTGTACAATGCAGACCTGTACTTACCCGTTGCCATTCCCCGTTGTTTCAAGCAAATTGAGGTTGAGTTGCTTGTATACGTTGCTAGTTCGTCTACCACATACACACAGCATACATGTATATGTAATAAAATACTATACACACGATATGAAATTGGTATGGTCCTTTGTACAATGCAGTACTGGAAATGTACTTACCCGTTGTCATTCCCAGTTGTTTCAAGAAAATACAAAGTGAGCCTGAATTGTATATACATTTAGAGAAGAAAAAAAACAACAACCAAAAAAAAAAACATGGCGGGTTGTTGTTAATTTCACGAGAGAGAGGCTAGCGCCCGCCCCCTCCATTTTTCTGTAAACATCTCTTGTTTTTTTGATATCTTAGATGAAAGAAACTCACCGAATTCTGGCGGATTCTGACGCGCTGGTTTTTCTACAGTCTCGGGCGCTGTCACTTCTTCCTCATGGGGCTCCACGATTGTGGGAATTTCGGGGGAATTGTAGAGAATCGGTACCTGTTGCTCCTAGAAACAACAATGGCAGAAAAGCTATGAATAAATATCAAAAGAAAACCGCAGACGTAATATTGTAAGGGATTTTTCATTACTGCTTCCAGTGGAGCAAATGCCATTTTGCTCAATCAAGTGATTTTATAGGATTTATGACTTGTTTTAATTCTTATTTGTACTGTATAATGCTAATAAGTCTAAGTTTTAAACTACGTATTTGTGTAAGGAAATCGCAATTCCTTGTGCTGCAAATTTTTTTTATGTTGAATAAAAAATTATCTCCATTTTGAGCGTAAGCCTAACTATATCTTACATTTAGTATGTGCGATACAGAGAGAGAAGACACAGGGTCACCAATTTCTAGAGATGTCACTTTTAGTTTCTGATTCCGTACACATACATGTACAGCAATGTATGGGGTGCTATGAGGACACAATGGTGGTATTTAATTTGTCTGGCGAGTTCAAAATGTAATATTCTTGAGTGCTCTTTCATGCAATCATATTTTCCCTTGTACATAATATATACGTACAAGAAGAATACTACAAAGAAAACACCAAATTCCAGAATTTTCTTCCATACCAATAAGCTATAAAAATGCTTGCCCATACATACATACATACATACATACATATCATTATGTTTACCTTCGCAGAAAGAAAACATATTGTTTTGCTCTGTTTCTTCTTCCTCTTCTTCTCCAAACAAATAATGTCAATGACCTGAACCAGCCTGTCTGTTACCATAGTAACTAGTGTTGGGTTACATCATGTTGCAATTTTATAGCAGGAGGGATTTAGACTCCTGTATGACCATATATTTGAATGTGTTTGAGTACGAATTAACAGAGCAGACCTTATGCAAAGGTAAACATTATGCATTTGCTTTGCAAGTGTTACCTTTATAGCTGTTTGTTTGTTTGTTTATTTGTTTATTTGTTTGTTTGTTTGTTATGATGGGTGACCTACCATGAGCCGGTCCAGAGACTCCTGTAGGTCCAGCGTCTTCTGCTGAAACTCCTGGCATTTCTGTAGCGCCTCCTTCTGTTTGTTTTCCAGTACTTTCTTCTCTTCTGCAGCGTTCTAATGAACAGTAAGAAGGATCTTAATGGTGTGATTGAGTTTTTTCTGTAGATCATGATATAAGTTTTATTGCAAATTCATGCCCGAGGGCTAATTGCATGAACAGAAGAAACATTTGGTATAAAACAGGTAATTACTACACATGGAACTACTAACTACTAAGAAACTACTGGTAAAAACTACTGGGTTTGACTTCTTTTTTGAAGACAGAGGAAGACAAAGGATCCCACTTTTTCTGTAATTTGTGGGTTTTCGGATGTTAAGAGGAGAGTAGTTTTCTTTTCATTTGTATATGTGTGAAAGTTTGGGTAGAATTTGGAGACTACGTCAAAGAGTTCATGAGAGATGGCCAGTATTATAGGAACGCACCATTCTATATAACGGTCACAAAAAGAGCAAACGTTTGAAACAACTTAAAACAAATAGTACATCCGTGAAGATATGATATAATAGTTAGCGTTCTGTTCAAATCTTATATGATACACTCTTCATAAAACCACCTTAGTCATCCGTACGAATGCGTACATAGTACAGTGTACGTTTCTAGCCATGGAAATACAAAGATGACAAGTACCTAGCTATATATAGCCTGAACTCACCTGAATTTTGCCGTTTAGAAGGTCGATCTACAAAACAAAAAATAAAAGATAAGAAGGTTATCATACACATTAATTATGAACCGTCAGTTTGTCATAGAGCTGTCTAAATAAACGCAATAAACATTCAAAGGTAACAATAATTATGAACGAGTAGTCCCCATTTCCTGAAAGACGAAACTATTGCCCAAAGGTACACTGCACTATTGACGTATAACGTTCTGCTTATAACATCCTCTGTGAGTGGGTTCATTGGGATTCACAATTATCATAGATAGTCGCTAATTCGTCTCGTGGTCCTACATTTATACACACTACATGACATAGGAAAATACTAGTATACAAAGCATAGATACATTGAAAACAATAAGGGAGTATATAATAAAAATACAACTTAACAAAAGGCCATATACATCAACTAAAATAGCACGTCGGCAGAACGTACAGTACCTGTGAGAAAGCCGTAATGTACTGTGCATAGCACTTCGGCAGAACAGCTCATTTTAGGTCGTATTTGCGTATATAAGGTTTAAATACTGTCTGTAGTTTCCAAACGTTTTGTAGGAAAAGATATCGTCTGCAACAGGCAAAATTCTGATGCAACGTTGACCAAACATCCAACAAAAACCGTCGAAAATCAGGGTATCTGCCGACGTGCTAACTAAAATAATCACAACTTCAGGTCATTCTAAGTGCTGGACATTCTGTACGGAAAACTTGATATTTTCACCTCATCTCTGAGAATGGTTCCCCTCTGCCTGAGCGTGAGTGACTCGTCCACCACGTTCTGCACGTGGATGTACCGGTTCTGCCAGTTCACCAACTCTCGCCTGATGGCGCTGCTGAGCGGGTCTGCGTCGTCGATAGACTGAAAACACAGTCATCACACCATGTCAAACCTATTCAGACCCTTGGGGAACAGGGGTGCCAGAGTATACAGTGCAATTAATGGAATACAGTGCAATCGTATTAGTACACAGTGCAATTTTACTAGTAATGCACTGTATACTAGTGAAATTGCACTGTGTACTAATACGATTGCACTGTATTCCGTAAAATTAAACTGTATACTAATACCATTGCACTGTATTCCGTAAAATTGCACTGTATACTAGTAAAATTGCACTATATTCCATAAAATTGCACTATATTCCATAAAATTGCACTGTATTCCATAAAATTGTAATGTATTCCATAAAATTGCACTGTATACTCTGGAGCCCCTGGAGAAACCGTACGCAATTTTCTTATACGGCTTGTACACGTAAATTTATGTTTATTGATGTTCACCCTCACTTATTTCGACATGCGGCAAGATGAAATCCCCGGCAGTTACCGCCTTGTAGGTTTGACTGGCCGCACTTCGGAGGGAAAGAAACTACCTCCCCGCGGCCGGACTCCCTTGGCCAATCTTGCTCTCTTTCTACGATCCGTATTCCCGTAGAAAGGCCTGGTGGAGGCTAGCTTATTACACTATTATTTTTCATCCAATTTGTGTCCTAAGATTTGGCGTCCCTTCAAATTTCAAATCTAGGCATCTTGTTTTTCGGCCCTTCTTTATTGTTTTTCTAGCAGTAGATTTAGGGTCTCCAGAGGACGTCATTCATAAAATTACTTGGTGTAGCCTTAACAATTAATACAAACCTTGTCTATAGACTTGGGGTCGAACCGTGACAGGTGTAACTCGAACTGTAGGTACACACGTGCGTTCATGTCGTCTACTGACATCAGGAGGGAGTTGAAAAAAGTCAAACAGGCCAGCTGAAATGTGGAAAAGACACTTGTCAAAACATGCGCATTTAAATAAAGGCTGACTACTACTGCTAGAGATTTGACAACAAAGAGCATACAAACACAGATGACCATCATTTCGCCACTCACACTCACTCACTCACTCACTCACTCACTCACTCAGTCACTCAGTCACTCACTCACTAACTCACTAACTCACTCACTCACCCACTCACCCACTCACCCACTCATCCCCTCATCCACTCACTCACTCACCCACTCACTAAGTCACAAACTCACTCACCCACTCACACAATCAGTCAGTCAGTCACTAACTCACTCACTCACTCACCAACCCAGTCACTCACTCACCCACTCACCCACTCACTCACTCACTCACTCACTCACTCACTCACTCACTCACTCACTCACTCACCAACCCAGTCACTCACCCACTCACCCACTCACTCACTCACCAACCCAGTCACTCACTCACCCACTCACTCACTCACTCACTCACTCACTCACTCACTCACTCACTCACTCACTCACCAACCCAGTCACTCACTCACCCACTCACTCACTCACTCACTCACTCACTCACTCACTCACTCACTCACACATAGCACATCCACATAGATTCACTCGGACACTTTGTTTCACTTGACACTGTAAGGATTTTGGACACTGAACACGACTATTTCCTGTGAGCGGTGAAGGAGGCTATATACATCAGGGCCCATCACCCTTCAGCCGCGACGGGGGCCGACATCGTCTACCAGATTCCTTTTGACCCAGTGTTGACGTCACACTTCAAAGAAGCCACGTGACTAGCCTCACTAGGTGAGGAAGACCAGATTGACTGGTCGAAAGCTCTAGGTGAGAGAACTTTTTGTGTTGGATCTAAAGTTTTAACTCTAGACATTATTACATGTTGTTGACTCTAACCTTGAATGAACTGCGGCATGACTCTGCCTGTAGCATGTTGACCAGCTGTTTGAACCTGTGCGTCTCCCCGACCTGCAGCTTCAGGTAAAACAGGCTCCTCAGCACCGCCCCGGGACCGTTGTGGTGCCCCGTACACTTCGTCAGGATCTGTAGCAACATTACAAGACAGACTCGCATCGTTACAACAGCAACAAGAACAACAACAAGAACAACAACAACATCATCATAAGCAGCAGCAGCAATTGTTATTGACACATCATAAATACAGCGACTTTCGTAATTATATAAGGTCTACTACAACTATGGATTAACCCGTAGTACATACAAGCACATGAAAAAAATCAACAATTATCACTAGTTCTGTGGTCTAAACATTCTTTGATATATACCTATTTGTACATAGTAAAGGTTACCTTCTAGAATATGATTGAATTTATCTATTGTATAAAATTATGATGAGAAAATCGACGCACAGTGAGGACCTCTAGCGAGAGTAACAATAAGAGCGCATTTTTAAGTACGTACGTACTAGTAAATGTTTAACTCTGCAACCCAGATTCGACGATGTCATTGATTGGGATGTGTGTCTTAAAGTTTATGTTAGACAAAAGAGGAGCACCCTAATGAACAGAAACCGGCATGTGGGGTCGTAGCGTTAGATTGCTCGCCTCGGAACCAAGAGGTCCCGAGTTCGAATCCTGCCATGCCACCGATCTTGTGCCCTTGGGAAAGGCACTTTACACGAATTTCCTTACTTTACTCAGGTGAAAATGAGTATGTCTGTTGTACGTTCATACGTCTGTCTGTGTTGGTGGCGGCATGAAAATAAGTTGAAAAAACGTGCGTGTGCCGTCGTCAAGTTTTGTAAAAGATGTTGGAATAAAGAAAAAAAACGGCATGTCTACCTGCAGAGCAATCGTCCTAGTCTCGTGGTGACTGCTGATGAGACTCAGGGCGATGGTCTCCAAGTTGACCGGCTCCTCAACAAGCACAGAGAGGCACTGTAGATGAAACGTTGGAAAAGCGTGAGATGAAAATGCTTCAATTCAGTTTTTAACCGAAAGTGTGATATATGTTTGTGTGCAATGTCAAATAAACTATTACCATTCGTTATTATTGTAATATAGTAGGGTACAATGACACTTTTGTAATTGGACCAAAAATAGTAATCTGTAATATCTGTAATATATGTAACTCTTTGATACTGTATGAATGTATACATAACTCTTTTATCATCACCATAATTCAGTTTTTTTTTACCGCAAGTGTGACATATGTTTGTGTGCAATGTCAAATGAACTAATACCATTCATTATTATTATACCATAGTAGGCTACAACAACACTTTTGCAATTGGAATATGCAAATGCAAATAGTGCAAGCGATGAAAGAATATTATTTTGTCATTTACTGTTTTTCAACGTGTAACAAAGAGCTGTTAAGGCTAGGAAAAAATGTTGTTTTTCCTGTTTGAGTCCTGAAAAAATAAGGGTCGGTAGGTAGGGATTATTTTTGTTTCTTTCTTATCTTTTATTAGACGTTGGCAGTCTCTAGTGATTCAACTTATACAATACAGTTTAACAAAGTAAACCTTCCATGAGGACACTTATATTTTCAATGTCAATGTTGGAAAACCGACTGTACAACGTTTCATCACTCAGGTGTCAGAACATGAAGGTCAATCAGCTCGAAAAATCTATGTCCCTTGCAGGGGTCCACCCAAAAAAAGGCTAGGTTCGGCAGTTTTTTCTAGGGTCGGTCGGGAAACAGGAAACACAACATTTTTTTCCTAGGTCTAATACCTCTGTTTCAGCCAGGGCCTTGAGACACAGTAGACAGTTGTGTTCGTCTTCCTGCACAACATTAATACATTTATTAAAGAATTAGTACATGCATATAGATTCATTGGAACAAGGTCACATACAACTCTATGTGTTTGCAATTAATTACCCTAGTCGACTTTATTACCCTAGTCGACCTTCCTCTGATTTCATTTTCTCATATGAATAGTCATAAAATAAAATAAATTGCATACACACAGCTCCATAGTTTGTCACAAGGACTGTCACACAATATGTCATTTTTATGATGACATATCTAGAGTTTATGCATACATATGCACTTGGTTGTCCTGTAATTAAAATGGGATCAATCAACTTGTAGAGGTGAACTTGAAAAACTAATGTTGTTCTCTACAGCCCCTAAACGTCACTGAAAAGTTAAACTAATAAGGGAAAACACCCCAGTTTAGTTTCTAATAGGTTCTCTTGAATTCGATTCTGAACACCCCCCAAGTCTAGCGACCGTCTCTTTCAGGTCAGGAAAAAATCTAAAGCAAACACTGCACATCCCTCTAGCTACAAGACCAACAGCATTTCTCTTTCTTTAACCTCTCAAATTTGAGTAAATTTTAGGGGAAAAGGGTTGTTCCCATGAAAAATGATGTAGACAATTGGGCACATCACCCATAATTTCGCCACCAATACCACTGATATTGTCGGAAAGAGAAATTTTAAAACCCTATGTACATTTTTTTGTGAAACATCCTTTGTAAGAATTGGAGACGAAGAACGTTAAAGGCATCCAATGCATTTTCAGGGCGGCGAAACTGGAAATATTCTGAGTGAGGCGATATGTATGATATTGACACATACTGTCACACATTAGCACATTTGAATCAGTATTTCATACTTTAGGCATCTAAAACTGCAGAAACAGGCCCCAAGATTAGTCCTTTTTCTAGGTGGTACCCTAAATATCAATCCAGGTCCTTCTAGTAACAGTTTTTCGTAGGAATTCGGGGCATTTTTGCTCTATGAATGTCAAGATACATTGGGACATCGTTGTTTCAACTTAGTAACTATGTAGAATATTGGCCTTGAAAAATCTGGTTTCTGCACTGAATGCCTTTAACCGATCTGCATGTCCATACTATCGTGGCCCACAAGTACACGCCTACGACGCCTAACGCAGGTGTTTGCGCAGGCGACGCAGGCGTGTACTTGTGGGCCACGGTACCATACCATCTGTTTCCTGATGCGGGAGTCCCCCGTGTCCTTGCCTGAGATGACGGCCAGGCTGAGGGTACCGCTGTGCTTCAGTGAGTTGTCCTTCAGAAAGGCGACCAGACGCCGCATGCCGTGGTGAGGACTGCCCACAAACTCCTTCACAAAACTACCGGGAGATAACACTGATAAATCAGCATCTTGAAATAGAATAGACTAGCGTTTGACGTGAAAAGTATGATATTTATGTTGAACATATTGTTTTTGCTCAGTTTCTTCCTCTTCTTCTTCTCCAAACAGTGACCTCAGACCTGACCAATGGCATGATTTGTTGACGTCTGTCAACATGGTGACTGATGTTGGGTTACATAATGTTGAAATTTCATGGTCTGCTCTGCTCCTGTCACCATATACTAGTAGTACATGTATGTGAATGTGTTTGAGTAAGAATTAACAGTGTCCGAAGGTAAACATTATGCATTTGCTTTACAAATGTTACTTCTATAGTCTTGCTTATAACTTCTTTACTTGCAAAATCATGCTTTTCGTTCCATAAGACTGCCTGGCCGGGCCCTGGTTTGGAAATGCGACCTCAGCATGTAGTGTAGAATTTACAAAAGATATGCAAGAAAATGTCAAAGCAAAACACGTTAAACACTTGATGTCATGCAAGACCGAATGTATAGCAGACAAACTATGTAATTATGTCTCCAAATGTTTCAAAAAGAGAGAAGAAAGGGCAACTAACAGTAGATGATAGGTAGTATATAGTATTGTTATAATGTATAAATTCCTAGCAATTAGCATTAGAATATAGCGTCCCAGTATGCAATACTCATGTTTTGCATACTGCATATCCTCTTGTGCATTTAGCCCATATGGGCAAGAACATGCAATAAAGATTCATATCATATCATATCATATCATATCATATCAATATACGTACTTTCCTTGAGACATTTCTATGTCGTACTGCAGGTCCGGTAGAAGTCGCGAGGTGGGGACTAGTGACTTGAGCAGGCGTTTGGACGGCTTGGCCTTCCGCAGGGCAGGGTTCATGTTCTTCTGTAACTGCTCCACGTAAAACTCAGGCTTCTGTTTCGGGCGCTGCAAGGACATGATGATGACAACCATGATCTCATTATTACCATGCCCGTAGCCAGGATTTTGAATGGGGGGGGGTTCTTCCCAATGCTTGAGGGGACCTCGAGCGCCGTAGGCGCGAGGCGAGCACCGAAGGCGCAAGGTTCCTAGGGGGATCCGGGGCATGCTTCCCCGGAAAATTTAAAAAAAAATGAACCTTCTAAAATGGCATTTCGAGCATTTTCGAGCAAAAAAATCAGAGATAAATTTTTATTCAATGACAAAGGGAGCAGTTTTCTACGATTCCAGTCCATCTTTTCAAGAAAACTCTTGGACCTTAACATAAAAAGTGGACCAAAAAGTGGACCTTTACATAAAAAGTGGACCAAAAAGTGGACCTTTGAGCCTTGTGGGGGGGGGGTTCTTCCGAACTTGGCTACGGGCATGATTACCTTCGCCAAGAAGGTTATGTTTTCAGAGGCGTTCGTGTGTGTCTGTGACTGTGTGTCTGTCTGTGTGTGTATCTGTAAACACGGTAACTTGAGAAGGCTTACATGGATTGACTTGATATTTGGTAGGTGGGTAGGTCTTGATTAGACCTAGAAATGATTAGATTTTGGGCCCCCTAGCTGCTTCTTATGGTACTGCAGCTGAACTTCCGGTTTTGATATCTCATGACCTAGACATGCTAGGGTTACGAAATTTGGATGATAGATAGCTCATGTTTGTTATGGAAAACATAAGGAAAGCATAATGTTTTTTCTCTGTTTCCTCTTTTTCTTCTTCTCCAAACCAAAAAGGTCAATGACCTGAACCAGCCGTCTGTCATCATGGTAACTAGTGTTGGCTTACATCATGTTGCAATTTTACAGCAGGAGGAATTTAGACTCCTGTCTCACCATATATATGAATGTGTTTGAGTAAGAATCAACAAAGCAGACTATATGCGAAGGTAAACATTAGGAATTTGCTATGCAAATGTTACCTTTCTGGTTTGTACAGTTTTTAACTACGTGTAAAATGTATAGCCTTCACCAGGCCTTTCTACGGGAATATGGAATTCGGCAAAAAAAGAGAGCAAAATTGGCCAAGGGAGTCGAACCAGTCAAAACTACAAGACGGCCAAACTCTCCTAGCCTGGCAAATATATTCTCAATCTCTTATACATAGCCAGCGTAGTTAGTCTGGTACAGACTAGAAAATGGATACTGTCTGGTCAATTTGATACTGTCACTAGAAGATCTGGTTGGAGATGAGATGTTTACCTTTTCCATGACCATACGCCACTTGTCCTCCTGTGACAGGTGCTGTAGTTCCTCCTGTCGCTCGGGAGACAGCGGACCCATTCTGTCCTGTCAGGGCGGGGCAAAACACAAGAGATAACGGTTATAACTTTTATGTATACTCTTGTGTACATGTTTCTCCATGTCATGTATTTCTGTAGTGATCTCACGTGTCGTATCACAGCTTGATGGCGAGTTTTCTTCTTTGTATTTGTTCATTATCTGTCATAAGCTACAAATAGAATCCACACCTTTTGCATTCATGATGTAACTACCTCCATCGAATACACGATGACCGCTGCTAGTAAGATACATATATAGACGCTAGAGTACCAAACGACCACTAGACCGGAAATATTACAGTGGTTCCCACACCGGCCCTGGGAGTTTTGGCAAAGAGTGCCGCTCCAGGGATGTCGAATTTGGAAGAATCGAGGACGAATCTTGAAAAGAAAGGGGGGAGTAGTGTAACAGTGGGGGTTTATAGGCGCTACCAACTGGTCGACGGGTCTAGACCTTTTCGGCCGAGTGGTTAGAGCGTCGGATTTTGAAGCTGGTGCTCGGGAGGTCGTGGTTTCAAATCCCGGCCCGGGACCAGAGGTTTTTATCTGTTTCTACTCGCTCTTCCTGTTTCTTACAGTAATGTGGTTGAAAATATGAATTTATTTCTGGTTCACAACGCAAACAAAATGAACTTGAAGCGACTGTACCTAATATATAACAATTATTAACAGGGCCAAGGGTTACTCCAGCAGTCAGAACCATGAACTTTATAAACACTAAGATCTTTGTCAACTCCACTCACTGCCACTCACTGTAGCTTGACAAAGTGTCTGACAAATAAAAACGTAGAAAGACAAGAACATGAAAAATGACAACAACCCATCCTCCCTAGGCCTGTCACCAATCAACGCATTTCACTGTTATAAGGCTCTGTCACAGAGTAAGAAGATGTAATATGTATCTTGCCTGTATGTACCAAAGATGCCAACACAATGATCTGGTACCATTTGTCACATCCAACCAATGTTCAAATCTTTGTCAAGGCGCATCTGTGATGTCTTTACTCTCGGTAAAATACAAATGGCAGAATCCGTGCATGACAGGCCGTGCAAAAATGAAATGTTTCTCTTTGAACACACGGCAGGTCGAAAAAATAAATACAGTAACAAGAGCTGGAAAGTCTTTCATAGCTGCGTTGGGAGGTTTATTATGTTTACCGAAGGAAAATATATTGTTTTTGCTCTGTTTCTTTTTCTTCCGTTTCAAACACTGACCTCTGACCTGGTCAATGACCTGAACCAGACTGTCTCTCACCATGGTAACTGGTGTTGGGTCACATCATGTTGCAATTTTATAGTAGGAGGGATTTAGACTCCTGTCACCATATATGTGAATGTGTTTGAGTAAGAATTAACAGAGCAGACCATATGCGAAAGGAAACATTATGCATTTGCCTTGCAAATGTTACCTTTCTAGTTGTGGCCACCGTGATATTTCGATGCATTAGTAGTCTACGTCATTCTACTAATAACCATGTACATTGAAGTTTCTACATCGCAAAGTGTCACATAGAATGTCTCCAAGTCTGTATCTGTATCTGTATAGCCGGTATAACCGCCATTCGGCGTAACACATCAGCTTCACAGGCACGCGGCGCGACAGCTAGCAGCTAGCTATATCACACCGAACAACTTGTTACACTCAATCTTTGCACATTTAGTTGCAGGAGTTGTTTAAAGCTTTCTAGTGTTGATGCCCCAACTGTGCAACGAGTTCCAGTCTACGATAGTTCTGGGGAAATACGAGTTTTTGAACACCTCAATTCTTGGTTGATAACTCTGATATTTGAAGGCATGACTGTTTCTTGTTCTTTTCTGGGCTGGTATCAGATACTTAGTGGTTGGCACGTCTACCAGTTTATTAGTCATTTTGTACATCATGTACAGTCTGGACATTCTTAGTCTGTCTTCCAGTGACCCCCACTGTAGGTTGACCTCATAGTTTCGCGTCTGGTTTCGCCACTGTGTACAAGTTATGCAGGAGGAGCAGCTAGTTGTTTACTTGGTCGGCAAAGTCTACATCTATGCGATAAGTGGTCAAACAGTCAGTTCTTGTTTTTCACTCCTGTGGTGGACATTTCTGTAAACAGTACTAGTTTGGGGACGTGAGAGATGGATTTTTCTTGTATGGCAGTTTTTTTTCACAAAATCGTTCTTTTGTTGAAAGATACCATGCATCTTTAGGATAGTATTATAGGTTTATGGTATAATGGTATCTGAGTTACATTGGTATTTTTCTGACAAAAAGAAGATATTTTGGACTTTTTTAGGTTAAGAATTCTCCATTCATTGCCACACGTTCTACATGTATGTATTTTGCATAGTGTACTATTTTGTACTACATGTATTGTAATTATGGGTTCACCACACCACGAAGTGGTGGTGAACCCATATTGCTTTTTCTGATGTTTCTTCTCCTCCTTCTCCTTCTCCTCCTGCCATATTTTTAAATGGATTCAGCTTCTTCATTTTAGGGCCTAAGGTCCTGAAATTTGGTATGGAGGTACAGTGGGCAAATACCCCTAGGCGTTTTTTAAATTTTTGTGATACAGGCTTTTAGAATGGTTTTATTTGAGTTTTTTGGCTGTGTTATAGCAAATGTATTACTGAGTTAGTGTGCAGTGTTACCACATTTGGGCATGAGTCATCACAATGGAATGCAGGGCATCAACCAATAGGCATGCAGCTTTCCTCTATTCTCCTTGCTGATTGGCTGTTGGAATTTAACAGGCTTAACTTAATTAATACCTGCTCAGATCCATTCCATACTGACAGTATGTCTGTATTCAAGTGTTTTGGTAGGTATTTCAAGCTTTCCTGCTCCAGCATTGGAATGCGGGGCATGAACACTTCTTTTTTTCTTGAAAATCAACAGTTTGCATTATGCAATTAAAAATCCTAACCAATAATGTAGGGAATAGCTATCCAACTGTTGTAGTCTTAGTTGTATGTTACTTCATACTATAGTTATATCAATGTAAAGCATTGTTTTCCCTTGTGTTTCTCATTCTTTCCCTGCCATGTCGTAAAATGTGGTGAAGCCATTGCTGTATTTGCTCCAAAGCAAATGTCGGCCTTTCTAGTTTCCAACATTATTTCAATTATTTGCATGCCCACAGCTGACAATGTTTACATACTAGGTTATTCACGTCGTCTTAATTTTATGGATGACATCCTCTGAAGACCCTCAAACTAGTGAGCGCGGGCGAATAAAAAAAACTCCCGGCCAAAAATAAAAATGCTACTAAACCACAGGAATACAAAGCTGGTATTGTGAATTTGCGACAGTACTTAGCAACGTATACGACATGCTGGCTTTTTGCGGCATTTATGAATCGGTACTGTACTTATGTACTGAGCTCTTGAGTCGTGGAGCTTCGAATTCGATAGCCGTGGTACACGGCTCCGTTTTGTCGCTGACTACCATGGACTACCCAGGCCTAGAGACAGGCCAGAGCCTCGGTGGAGGTGATTTTTTTTTGAAGGCGACAGGCGAAAATAAATGCGCGCGCGGATGCCATCCATAAAATTAAGTCAGTGTGGCCTTATGTGTGCTACATGTATGCATTTTACAAAGCGTACTAGATGTATTGTAATTTCCAACATTACTTTAATTATTATTCCCTACAGAGCTGACAATGTTTGCATCTAGGTTATTCATTGCCTTGTTTTAGCTTATTTATATTTCGTCTTAACATAGCGGGTACCTCTTTTCTGTAACAGGTAACTCAGGACTTTGGACGCAGATAAGAACTCTGCCAGCACATTCTTGTCGTTCCGCGTAGGTCTGTTACTCAAATACTTGACGTCAATATGTTGTCAAGAGAACGCTTCACAGTCCAGGGTATGCGTGACCCAGAGTACAAAGATTAGCATGGCGGGACCACCACTTGAGGCAAAATTCGTGGAAAAACTATGGCGTCACCCGTCTCAGAAGCCCCTCTGTACGTGTTCTTATAATTAAATGTCTGTCACATTTGATATCCCATTAATGAAAAGTTTATTGCAAATTCGTGCCCGGAGGCTAATTGCAAATTAAAAAAAAATAAAAGAACAATGAAACTGAGTGTAAAATAACTAAAGTCTATATGATAAAGGTAGCTGTCTAGAACTATAACTATGTCTGAAGGGTTTGACTTCTCTTCTGTAAACCATGGAAGGCGTAATGTCACACCTTTTCCAAAATTTGTGGGTTTTTGGAAGTTAAAAGAAGAATAGTTTTTTCTTGATATGCCATTCATGAACGTAAAATCTATGTATAATCATTAAAGTATATAATACAAGTGATCTGTCCTAGTACAAATACGGCAGACAATGCTGCATGCTAGGTTAGTTTTAATTATCTAGGGATAATAGCCTAACGTATAATGTCTTGTTTTCATCGTGGGAATTTTTTGACACGTAGGTACAAAATGTACTCCGAATGCACAATCCCCAGCCTATGCATATTACCTTGCACTGAGTACGAGATAGTTTTTGGAGTATAGTAGTAATATATCCTGTTTTGTAACATCTACAGTTTCATAAAATTCATAAAATTTGCTCTCTGATTTTTCCGTGTTCTCCATCAGACACCTAACCATTGAAGTGCTGGCCCAAACAAGTATTTACTAGTACATTAAAAATCAATAATTAGTCCCGGCCATTCTTCCCTACCATTGTAAAAATAGCCATACTTTCCGTGACCTTAGCGGGCTGCACATATTTACACAAGTTCAGGGTCATCAGGAGAGAATTTGACCCCTGACCCCGCCGCCATATTTCAGTCGCGACACCCGCAAAGCATCACGGGAAACAAAGGCTCGAAAATATTTGCCTTTCTGATAAGACTGCAAATTAAAGACCCCCTGAAGCAGATGAAAAGTACCGCTTTAGGCTGAGGAGAGATAACCTCTCTTTAAGTGTGTCTAGGTCACCCGTGCTTCTGCCTTTTTGTATCCTGGTAAGGCCACACCGACTTAATTTTATGGATGACATACTCTGGAGACCCCCAAACTAGTGCGCGCGGGCGAATAAAAAAATTCCGGCCAAAAATAAAAATGCTACTAAACCACAGGAATACAAAGCCGGTATTGTGAATTTGCGGTAGTGCATAGCGACGTACACGACAAGCCGACACATGCTGACTTTTTGCGGATTTTATGAATTAGCACTGTACGTATGTACTGAGTTCTTGAGTCCTGGAGCTTCGGTAGCCTGGGTGCCATCTTTCAGAGTTACCGCCGGCTCCGTATTATCGCCAAGTGCCCAGGTCTAGAGCCAGGCCAGAGCCTCGGAGGACGTGATTTTTTTTTTTGGAGAACAGGCGAAAATCAATGCGCGCGCGGATGTCATCCATAAAATTAAATCGGTGTGGCCTTAGTATCATTTTAAGGGTTAATATCTTTCGATAAATAACACAAACTTTTAAAGGAATCTGTATCAGTATAGCCGGTGTAAAACAGAAGTCAAACAAAGTTATTTTGTACCCTGTTTCAATGTTCTTTTATCTTTGTTATTTGCAATTAGCCTTCGGGCAGGAATTTGCAATAAACTTGTTATAACCACCTCTTGGTGAACACACCAGCTTCACAGGCACGCGGCGCGGCGGCAGCTGGCTACATTACATCGAACGACTTGTTACAACTAGCCTTTGAACATATAACTCTAAACATGACTCGGTTGTATGATTCCATCTTTAAAGACAAGACACTTGTATTATGATTATTGTTCTGATCAATTATTTGTTATGATTTGAATCATTATGGGTTCACCACAAAGTGGTGAACCCATATTGCTTTTTCTCATGATTCTCCTTCTTCTCCTGCCATTTCTTTAAATGGATTCAGCTTCTTCATTTTGGGGCCTAAGGACCTGAAATTTGGTATGGAAGTACAGTAGGCGAATACCCCTAGGCGTTTTTTTAATTTTTGTGATACAGGCTTTTAGAATGGTTTAGTATTTGAGTTTTTTGGCTGTGTTATAGCAAATGTATTACTGAGTTAGTGTGCAGTGTTACCACATTTGGGCATGAGTCATCACAATGGAATGCAGGGCATCAACCAATAGGCATGCAGTTTTCCTCTAGTCTCCTTGCTGATTGGCTGTTAGGATTTAACAGGCTTAACTTAATTAATACCTGCACAGAGCCATTCCATACTGACAGTAGGTCTGTGTTCAAGTGTTTTGGTAGGTATTTTATGCTTTCCTGCTCCAGCATTGGAATGCGGGGCATGAACGCTTCTTTTTTTCTTGAAAATCAACAGTTTGCATTATGCAATTAAAAATCCTAACCAATAATGAGGGTCTGCATGCCCTTTTTCGTTAACCGTTATGGGCTATTTTAATTTACCGTTAATCGTTGCCGGCCCGCTCTAATTTAACGTTAAGCGTTATCAGTATATTCCTCGTGAAGCGTTATTGGTCGTTTTAATTCAACGTAAAACGTTATTTGTCATCCTAAATTCAGCGTTAAGCGTTAATGAATAATTCTTCGTTACGCCTAATTTTGCCTTTCAAAGTGCAGGAAAATGCGTCATTGAAGGTTCAAAATACAAAATTTTCTGGGGGAGAATGCCCCCGGACCCCCCTACATTGCTCGCGCCTTTGGCGCTCGACTCGCGCTTCTGCGCTCGGTCCCTTCGGCTCTAGCCAGAACCAGCTTTCCTGTCAATTTCCGGAAGTTTGCGGAGAGTTACAGAATTGTTTTTAAAGAATCCGTCAACCTTGACAGGCAAATTAACAAAAATCTTGAGTAAAATATGAAAACATCAGAAGGACCGACAAACACTCTCAACACCATGATTTGCCTCTCAAAATGTGGGAAATTGCGTTTTTGAAGGCTTAAAAATCCTAAATTTCCCGGGGGAGCATTTCCCCCGGACCCCCCTAGATTACGACGCTCCCCTCTCAAAATCCACTGGGCAGACTGAAAAAATGTAAGCTGGCTGACGTCGACTCGGACTCCCCTTTATTTGTGGACGCACTCGGGGACCAGGGCATGTGGGGAACACAGGGTACACATACCTTTAATGCGTGCTTCATTACATGTAAGATATACGTAATTTTGTCAGTGATCACCTTTTCTCACAAAGCGAGATACCAAATCCAGTGCAGCTCGAACGAAAAAAAGTCTGTCAATTTACCGTTAAGCGTTGCCGACCGTCCTGAATTTACCGTTAAGCGTTATCGGCCCTGCTGAATTCACCGTTAACCGTTGCCAGGACCCCCCCATGCAGACCCTCAATAATGTAGGGAATAGCTATCCAACTGTTGGAGTCTTAGTTACTTCATACTATAGTTATATCAATGTAAAGAATTGTTTTCCCTTGTGTTTCTCATTCTTTCCCTGCCATGTCGTAAAATGTGGTGAACCCATCGCTGTATTTGCTCCAAAGCAAATGTCGGCCTTTCTAGTTATGATTATTTTTATGATCAACGATTTGTTATGATACAAAATATTGTTATGATTATTATTATTATGATCAGTGATTTGTTATGATTTGAATTAGTGTGTAAGGGATGTTTCATTGCATTGTATGTTGTTTTGATATACGAATAAAATAAATAAAAAAAAGACAAGACACTTACCAGGACTCTTTTAAACTTCTCGTCCACCACATCTCTGTCTGGTATACTGCCGTCAGACACTGAGTTCAGATCTGTGGACAAGAAAGAAGATTATAGGCGACAGCAAGTAAATTTTATGGATGACATTCTCCACAGACTCCAAATCTAATGCGATAGGGCGAAAAAACAAGGCGGGCCAAAAAAACAAGATTCCTACATTTTCAAATTTTGACACCATAAACCTTGTTAAACAAGAAATGATACCTATATTGTGCTAGGTGTACTGTCAACTATTACAACATCCATTTCTCACTGAAACAACTTTGAAAAAAAAAAAGGTTTTCAATCATTGTACAAATGGTTTTGATTCAGTGAAAAAAAAATCACGTATGCACAACCACCATCACACATAAAAGGAATGAAATACATCACTGCATCAAAGAAAAAGACAAAAGATAAAATCAGAGCCTTGTCTTGTCTCCTCTCTTCATATTTATCCGCCATCCACGTTCCAACATGGCAACAGACATCTTTGCCCATTTTCGGCATGTTGACCACTGTCAGAGGGCAACAAAATTTCTTGTTTTGTTTTTAAAAACTCAGCCGAAAATGAATGCGCGCGATGATGTCATACACAAAAGAAATACTTGCTGTGGCCTTATGATAGAATGAAATTACGTATTTGGATGTAGGTACGTTTTTGAACTCTCCATATACTGAAGGATAAGGGTACCGAAAATGTGAAAACCTATAAGACAAAGTTGTTGTTTGATACGTTTCTCTTGAATGCTGGCAAAATATCTAATATATCCACTTATGTAGGCCAATTTATACACAATTCACTGACAAAATGCAATAAATTCCTGACACAATATATTACTATTAGAGTTAGATTAGTATAATTAGTGTCTCTTTATTGTTATACTTTGTCTATGAAAGTACATGTAGACCAGATTCTTAGTATAGTTAGTAGAACTGTTAGATATTTTTAGCATCGCACCAACTATGTATGTATGTTAGCATCACCAACTATGTATGTATGTTTTGCCATACGTTGTACCCGCTACATCTGTTACGCAATAAAGTTCTTCTTCTTCTTCTATCTGATATTAAATTGCTATGACGCCAATTGTACTATTCATTGCACGGTATATTGGTGTCCTTCAATGGATAAAATATCTTACATGAATGTGTGAGGGTCACAATTCCATATCCTTGACAGATTGTTTATTATTATTAAATGAACAAATAATAATAATAAACAAATAGACAAGCTGTCAAGGATATGGACGTTCAATAGAAAAGAAAGCCAGGCATGTGTGATATAACTTAGTCATTGTTAGTCACATTTCGTGCATGTGTTACCAAAATATTTTGGCTGGCACTCTTGACTGCTGAAAACAGAAGGCAACATAAAAACAAGTCGACATCGAAGTGTAATGTCATTAAATCGAAGCACAATACTTGAAAACCGGTACTTATTTGTTTATTTATTTTGGGTATCGGAATTGTTATATTGAGTCATGGCTTTGTAATTACAATTCAAGGTAGCTGTTCGTGACTATTTATTGTCAGCAGGACTTGGCAGCATTATTCTACATACTGTACGGTGCAAGTGCAATTTTGTTTTGGAGACGAGCACTGTATGGCACTGTGTACGAGAGAGAGAGAGAGAGCGAGAGCGAGAGAGACAGAGAAAGAGAATGGTTTATTCACACGCAAATTAAAAAGTACACTTAAAAACGGTTTACAGTTGTCACAAATAATCAGCTTGTAAATGTTGTATCCTATGTAAATAAGACGTTTTTAAGAATGCATGTCACTTGAATGTATTTAACCACACTTTTTCCCCAGGGCAAACCCATAATAAAGCTTCAAGCTAGTTGGGCTGCCCTGGCTGTGTTGTACCAGCCGAACCAATAGATAAAGCAGCTATGTCCATTTAGTTGAATTGAGGTGTGACATAAGATAGAAGCAATCAGTTATATACGTTACAATAGTAACAGTAATTATCTCGGGCACTTGCTACATGTAAATATTGTATATATATACTTATAAAACTCCTGAAATTGCATAGTGATAATTAGACTTATTTCTTTACACAATGGGTGATTAGTATTAGTTGACGGCAGGTAGACTGTGTGTTGCCGTTTACCATATATTGTTTGAACACGTTGATAACGCTATTTCCTCTTTAACTGAAACTTCCAATCCAGATTGTAGCTCTCCGACGGTGTAGCAACAACAGAGTGTTATCGATTCATTCTTAGAGACAGGATCAGTGTGCTTATGTCGAACAAAAGGTTTTTTTTGGGGGGAAAGCGGCTCGAGGTTAGGCTACGACCTGAAATACATGACTTTACATATCCACAGTTCCACACCCTACCATATAGTTACAGGGCTCGAAATACTGGTGGGTGCCTGTGCACCTAAGTGCACCCAAATTTTGGGCTGTGCACTAAACTGTTTTCGTAGGTTTACGTATGTAAAGATGTTAAAAGTGTTGAATTTGTGTGCAGCATATTTTTAACATCTAAGTGTCAGGAAAATAACAAAATCATTGTTGTAGCACTTTTCTTTAGCAAGGAAACATTATTAGTTTTTGCTGACACTCTACCTATTTTATCTTATATGGTGCACCCCAAATTTTTTGTGCACCTAATTTTTTAGGTTGGATGCACCAGTGCACCTATTAACAAAAATGAATTTCGAGCCCTGAGTTGTAAGGATAGCATTACACAGTGGCATTTGAATTTGGATACTGCCTTAACATCATACGACATTGCAAATACCACGTTACCGACAAGCATAAGAAACATAAAAATCTTCATCACCTTCATAGCATCACTACTAACATGGTCTCTACCAGACTCCTTTGCAGGCACGTGCAGGAAAATGGACCCTCTCTGGCCGGTCCGGTTAATAAAATCCCCTTTTTAGGCTAGCCTCCGTAGCAGGCTTATAGAACTGGGGGTTTGGTGGTCTCCGGCTGTTTTCTGATTAGTCCAAAAAACGGGAGTAATTCAACCAGGCCGGCTATGTTGTCTATATGCAATCAGAAAATAGCAGATAAAAGCCCCCAAAGACCCTGAAGACCCCCCAAAACCCCCATTTTATGGCATGCTATGGAGGCTGTTTTTAGGCCAATTTCTACTATTTATTCAGCCTGCAAATGAGTCTGATTGGAGACTACTACTAACATATATGCCACAGAGAACCTACGTGTAGAAATAGGACAGACCGTTGTCTGTTACTAACCTAGCCTAGTGGCTATCCAAGCAGTCCACACTCTTCTATGCCGTATTTGCAAAAACATCGCAGCGGAAAAATACTAGCAACACATGTGCGTGCAGGGATATTTGTATTACAACAGTACTGAAACGCGAAACACACTTACGTGCATCAACGTAATTATTTTGCATATTTTTAGAAAGGCCGAATATTGTTGTATCATATCATATGGGTGGTAATGAGATTGGATTACGGGACTAATATCCGTGGATACTAATTATGAGTATGTATGGTCACATTAATAATTCATAAACTCCTTCTGCTTGAGATAAGGTTGCACGGAGGTGGTGATGGCTGCACTCAATGCAGTTTTTAGAGCTTGGAAACCCGATTTTTCACAGCCAATATTATAGTAATTTATCTACATACTGAGTTGAAACTACACTGTCCCAATGTATATCGACCCTCCGGCAGCAAAAATTCCCAAAATTCTGACGGAAAATGGTTACTGGAAGGGCCCTGGGCTAATTTTTAGGGTACCACCCAGAAAATAAAAGACTCATCTTGGGACTTGTTTCTGCAGTTGTAAAATCCCAATGTACGAGTATGAAATGCTGACTCAAATGTGCTAATGTGAAGTAGTTTGTGTTATTATCACAAAGATTGCCTTATTCAGAATATTTCCAAGTTTGCTGCCCTGAAATCGCATCGGATGCCTTTGACGTGATAAGGGGTGGATCACTAATAAGTACTAGGTGGAGGCGTGGTTGGCATTTACATTTGACTAAAATTTAACACAAAATTCGATTCAATTCGTATAGAAAGGTAGGCGTGGCCTAAACCTAGTCAGACAGGGGAAGATAAAAAAGGAAGAAAATCCAAAACTCGCTTGTAGAGTATAAGTTTGCCCAATGTGGTAGAACTCACGCCTACCTGAACAGGAAGAAGACAGGTTATCCTCGCACCAGGCATACGCGCTGGACGGTACCACCAGCGGAAACCCGTCGGGCTCACCCCCCTGCCCGCCCGAGCACAGCCGTCCACACAGCCGCTTCAACATCCTACCAAACACCAGCTAAACTACCTTGCCTTTCAGAGGTTAGAAGCTATATAAGGCCACACCAAGTAATATTTATGGATGACATCAGCGCGCGCATTAATTTTCGCCTGATTTTTAAAAAAAAAAAGAAATTTTGTTGCCTTCTAACAGTGGTCAACATGCCGAAATGGGGCAAAAATGTCTGTAGCCATGCCGGAAGGTGTATGCCAGATAATTATGAAGAGAGGAGACAAGAAAAGGCTCTGATCTAATGTTTTGTTCCTTACTTTGATGCAGTTATGTGATGTTGGCTGTGTATGTGTGATGTTCCCACTGAATCAAAACCATTTGTACAATGATTGAGTCAAAATTTTAAAATGTAGGAACCTTGTTTTTTTCGGCTCGTCTTGTTTGTTTTTTGGCCCGCTCGCATTAGATTTGGAGTCTGCGGAGCATGTCATCCATAAAATCTACTTGCTGTGGCCTAACAACATTTCTTTGAACCTGCCAAGTCGCTCGGTATCAGAGCACGCTTCAAGTACATTCTTTTGTACTTTAGAATTCAGTTCTGGCGTATTTACAAAGGGCCCCCTTATCCTACCTGAACTTTGAGAGCCAATAGTGAAGTATAATAGAATAAATGACCCGTCGAACTTAGTGTGTGTGTGTGTGTGTATAGAAGCTTAGGAATTGTGCTCGTGCCCGATAGAACATTTGATGGTTGAATATTTTTCTATGTGTTGGTAGTGGATATTAACATGCTTGAACTATTCAACAATATATCAATTGTAGCATGAAGATAATTTACATACTCTGACCAATATGTCATTATACATCGTTGACCTAATTTTTGTGTCTTCAAAATGGCGTTTTTGTTTTCTAACAAATAAGTCGTAAAATGTATTAGTTTTTATAATCGTCTGAGGTTTTTGAATGTTAAAATTCTGCCCTAAAATAGGCTTGATGCACAACAGAAAGTTTTTTGCTTGTAATTATTAGAATGGAATGGCGTTTTTGTTAGACAAACAAGTCGTATGAAATATGGTAGATGTTTTTATAATCGTCTGAGATTTTTGAACATTAAAATTCTGTCCTAAGATAGTGTTTATATCAGAAGCTTGACACGCAACAGAAGTTTTTTGGAGGTAATTAGGCCATGTTGAGTTGATTATATGGATGACATCCGCGCGCGCATGAATTTTCGGCCGTTTCCAAAAAAAAAACTTTCACACAAAATGTAAATCGGACCTAGGACCTAGAGGCTCAAAACTAGGACCTCCTAGTTTTGAGCAGAACACGCTACCGCTACGCCACATGACCCCAACTGAGCTGATATTACATCAGACCGGAAATTTACTCTTCAATAATATTTTTACAGGCGTGTACGTTTTTTTCACAACGACAATGAGAATAAACTTAATTTCATATTCACGCCTTATATGGGCCAAATGTACTACGTTAGATAACTGAGGTATAAGGGTAGAAGGAACAAGTGTTACATTACTGTGCTACGTGTATATCTACAAGATCTCTTCTCTCTTTTTGAAACAAGCATGAATAAATTTTCATAGTTTTCATTTACATGAACACCTACATACCTACGTGCCACACAAAGTAAGGTTAGTCTCTACCAGACTAACTACGCTGGCTATAGCTATATGTAGGAGAATATTTGCCAGGGGAGTTTGGCCGCCTTGTAGGTTTGACTGGCCGCGCAGTTCGGAGGGAAAGAAACTACTAGTACCTCCCCCAATTTTATTCTCTTATTTTGTTGAATTCTACGATCCGTATTCCCGTAGAAAGGCCTGGTGGAGGCAACAGTAATGTAGCGTAAAGAACTTCTTGCTAAAAGCGTTACCTGAGCATATAGAGTCCGTATCTTCGAGCCAGTCGTACGCGCTGAGAAAAGGTCCGTTTCCATACTTGAACAACAACGCACTAGGCTCCTGATCTTCCCAATTTTGAGGCAACACTTCACTCGATTGTCGTCTGAACACTCGTGGCAACACCTCGCTTGAAAACCTCCTAAACATCCCTGATTTAAGTTACTTCGAGGTAATCCTACTATAATTAATTTTTGCCCGGATAAAGGTATGATTTTTCAGCGTGCAACACCACAGGGCGCTTTTTGAACAACTGTTCCCTGTTCTACTGTGTTGAACTTTACTCTTTAAATATCGTAAAAAAATAAATCCATAAATCCGCAGTGTTTATCAGGGCTCGAAATTAAAGGTGGTCCGATGGCTACTGACTACTAAAATTTAGGCTGGGACAACTAAAAAGACACTTGTTTGGGACAATAGAAAAATAATCAACATCAGAATGTCAGCCCTTCTTTTGTTTATCAGGCACACGTTTAACAGGAAAAGTCCCCCCGAATTTCCCTCCTACACATTATAGTGCGCCTGGGAGTCAGATCATAAGCAAAATATACGTTGACTTACCCAAAAAACAGGTTGGGACAGTTCATCCTCACTTCGGGACAATTGAAATTTATTTTTGGGACAGTGCTGGGACAATAGGAAACAAGACTGGCAATGAAAACATACATTGCCATGGCGACGGTGGTTGCTGTTAGGGTTATTGTTTGCATGGTACTGCCATCATTTCATGATTTTGAGGTAGCCTTGGTACCTGTCAAGTCTAGACAGATACAGTGCACTACTCCCCTGAGTGTATAGTGAATGAGCCCCGGGGTCACAGAAATTAGGGCCATCTGGGGCAGACGGGTCTTCCCAAGGGTTCCAGGAATGTGGACATACATGTAGATGTGGGTCAGAGAAATGCCTGTTCCATTCCTAGAATTCTTGCAAATTGCACATAATACTGTACCATTAGGCTCCTCCCTGAGACGTCGCCAAAAAAAGTTAATTTCGAGGCCTGTTTATGTATGGAGTTTGCCTCATCAAGCATAAGGAAACGCCTGTGGACAATGTTTACATCACGATTTGGCCTTCAGGATGCATACCACAGGAGTAATGAGTACTGTTGACTCTAAATCAGTGAAAAACAACGACAACGAAACTACGCTGACTTTCAGAATCACACTAAGGCCACACCGACTTAATTTCATGGATGACATCTACGCGCGCATTAAATTTTCGCCTGTTCTCAAAAAAGGAAAAAAAAAGACCACGTCCTCCGCGAGGCTCTGGTCTCGCTGTAGGCCTGGGTAGTCCATGGTAGTTAGCGATAATACGGAGCCGGGCACCCAGGCTACCGAAGCTCCACGACTCAAGAACTCAGTACGTACGTAAAAAGCCGGCATGTGGTGGCTTGTCGTATACATCGCTATGTACTGCCGTAAATTCACAATACCATCTTTGTATTCCTGTGGTTTTGTAGCATTTCTATTTTTGGCCGTAATTTTTTTTATTCGCCCGCGCGCACTAGTTTGGGGTTCTTCAGAGGATGTCATCCATAAAATTAAGACGGTGTGGCCTAACGTTTGTGATGTGAAGTCATCAGCAATGATTAATAAGGCATGTGACTACACAATCGATCACACAACCAACCGTAAATGCACTGATACTGAACGAATTCCAAAATCTCAAGGTTTCCACGTCACCAAAGGATGCGATTAGGCCAGCGAATGGTTGGGTAAATGGAACAGAAAATATGATTATGCAAGTGTATACATATCACGTGGTAGTGTTACAATGGGTTTTGCTAGCCTCCATAGCATGCAAAAAAAACTGGGAGTTTTGGGGGTCTTCAGGGAGCTTTTGTGTGATATTTTCTGATTGCATATAGACAACATAGCCGGCCTGGTTGAATTACCCCCGTTTTTTTAGAACTGGGCTAATCAGAAAACAGCCGAAGACCACCAAACCCCCAGTTCTATAAGCCTGTTACGTAGGCTAGGGTTTTGCAAACTCGTGAAATGTGAGAGGTTGTTGTACCCACCTACGCTAATTTCGTCGGAGTCCCCGTCGTCCAAATAGCTGGTGTAGGCGCTGGGCAGATCCTCGGGCCTGAAGCCCATGAGGTGTACGGACCCTGGGCGGGACCCGGGGAGACTGGACCCGAGCCCGAGGTCTTGTAGAGAGCCGATGCTCTGGGCATGGTACCCCCTCTTATGCTTTAGCCACGCCAGCTTGATGCCTTCCTACGGGCGAAAAAATGAGTCAGTATTCCTAACAACTGTACGTTAGTTTAAAACGCCTTGATAGGTACGGCTTACCCTGGATGCCAAACTAGTGTCGGGCCGTTAGCCGTTTTCCTTCGGCAGCCAAGAACCTTCGCCCGCCTAGCTAAATTACCGCTACGGGGTTGAGCCCGAGGGGTTTGTCCGGCCCTATTACTATAGCATCCAGGGTAGGTACGGCTAGCATCAAGTAGATACATAACATAGTATTTGGGGCAGGCTGTCTTCGGGGCTCTAATAGTTTCCCCCCGCCCAGTACAACAGTCCGCCCCGGTAGGAGTGTTACGCTAAAATACAGAGTTTGGTACGTCGGGGAGTTCAAATCAAACTCCTGCCGTGAATACTAGTAACCTACCGGGGAAACCTAGCTCAGGCGGGCGGTGAAGATCTCCTGCAGTCCCGAAGAAAAGCCTCCCCAACCACGATAGGTTAGTAGACACACGTCAGAGTTTTACTGAGAACGCTATCACGTCAAAAAACAACAACAACACGCCTGTCTGCGAGAGTTCTAAACTACGACAAACATGCTAGACACGACTTCAGCACACACCTTGGCAACTACAGACCAACTTGTACCCGCCAGGTCCACGAACTCTGACCCGACTAGGGGAAGAAAAATCGATAAAGATTTTTGAACCAAGAGAAGACTTCTCGGTACCACACCCATAATGGTTTTCGTGAGTGATTTAGGAAGAACTTCTATTGTCTTCTTTACATTGTGGACAACAATCTACGGTTTTGAAAATTGTTTATATAGACTTAATAAAACGACCAACAGCTATAATTTTTATGGTTTGATTGTTAGTCTTTTTAGGGCCTCCACTGAAATATTGTGGACGAAAATAGCCCTAAACGTAGCTGAAAATGTTTGTTGTATATACCGGAAATACTTACGTGGTGTGCCCACGCCCAGTGGATGGTTGCAACAGGTGTTTTTACCGTGTAACGTTTCCAGACTCACCGGGCGTGACGCTAGAGACAAAGCGGCTACTCACCTCAACAACTGCCGCCCGCAAACTCAAGTCCACCCGGTGAAGATTCCAAAACTGACCGAGAGAGTTTAGGATTGTAAAAGGAAAGTCTTGAAAGCTTTTCTTCCTCTGGGTGTCGGCCCAGAGTCGCGAGACGGTCACAAAGAGTACGTGAGTCACCGTATGATGTCAGAGGTAAACCTAGTGCAAAGGTCTCCCCCTGCCACGGTGTGTTGTTCAAACAATCGGACAGGGAGAGTTAAAGTACTGTTTGTACTACTGCGGTTATTGGGTAGGGCTTAAACAACTAACAAGGAAGTTAAAGGAACCCAATGCGATTTCAGGGAAGCAAAACTAAAAATATTCTGAATAAGGCAATCTTTGTGACATTGACACATACTGCTTCACATTAGCACATTTCATACTTTGGGCTTTTAAAACAGCAGAAACAAGCCCCAAGATGAGTCATTTATTTTATGGGTGGTACCGTAAAAATCAGCTAAAGGCTCTTCCAGTAACCATTTTCCGTCAGAATTTCGGGAATATTTGCTCCATGAGGGTCAATATACATTTGGATGGTGTGATTTCAGCTCAGTATGTAGATAAATGACTAGGCTTTGAAAAATTGGGGTTTCAAACCCTAAAAACTACACTGGATGCCTTTAAATGCGAGTCACGCCACAAGGAGAGAATGTTAAATAAAAATCATATTTTGTTATGCCATGCTATCAGATATGTGTATATGTTTTGGAAGAGCCATTTTATGATTGATGTAACTTGGACTGTTGCAAGAAGCCTCCAATCTAAACCGTGTTTATTGTGACAAATAATGCGTGACTCCTTTTGTAAATAACCAGATCCCGTCTTCCAAGAATAACTAGGAGAACTTCCAAGGAGAACTATTGTCATCTTGCTATGTTGGGAAAGGTAGACGCAAGCTATAGGAGTATAAGGCCACACCGACTTAATTTTATGGATCACATCCTCTGAAGACCCCCAAACTAGTGCGCGCGGACGAATAAAAAAAAATTCCGGCCAAAAATAAAAATGCTACTTAACCACAGGAATACAAAGCTGGTATTGTGAATTTACAGCAGTACATAGCAACGTATACGACAAGTGACACCAGAACATTCTGGCTTTCTGCGGAATATGAATCGAGTTCTTGAGTCGTGGAGCTTCGGTAGCCTGGGTGCCATCCTCCAGAGTTACCACTGACTCCGTATTGTCGGTAACTACCATGGACTACCAAGGCCTAGAGCCAGGCCAGAGCATCGGTGGACGTTTTTTTTTGAGAACAGGCGAAAATCAATGCGCGCGCGGATGTCATCCATAAATTGAAGTCGGTGTGGCCTAATAGGACATCTACAAAGGGCTCTTAATATCAATGAATGAAAGACCCTTATTTTACATTTATGCTCTTACGAGTTAAGTACAGGTCATGGAAACAGGGAAAAGGAATACAACAATAACTTACTTAAACTATACATACTAATGTGATCTACTGATTACAGGTTCAACTTTCTTGGTACAGTTATACGCAGATGTACGCATCAATGAAAATGTCTAGGATTCATTATATTAGCAAGCTCTGTCGAATCCGTCATTTGGGAGTTAAGTCGTCAATCCACCTCTGCTGTTCAGGATGATCTCGGCAGGTGGCGCTGTTACCAAGCATTCCACACGGATGCCTGGTTACCTGCATTCGCGACATGCCAGGCACATTTTGGACACCCTTCGTCTCATTATCCCTAGAACACTAGCAATATACATCTTGCTCAACAATATAGCTTCACACAATGTTACCATTTCCAATTTGTCTCATCTTTTATTTTTCTGCTAAGGCCAAAACAAGTAAATTGTATGGATGACATGCTCCGCAGACTCCAAATCTAATGCGAGCGGGCGAAAAAAACAAGGCGGGCCGAAAAAAACAAGGTTCCTACATTTTAAAATTTTGACTCAATCATTGTACAAGTGGTTTTGATTCGGTGGGAACATCACATATACACAGCCAACATAACATATCACTTCATCAAAGTAAGAAACAAAATATTACATCAGAGCCTTTTCGTGTCTCTTCTCTTCGTAGCTATCTGCCATCCACCTTCCGGCATGGCAGCAGACATCTTTGCAACTGTCCGAAGGCAACAAAATTTCTTGTGTTTTTTTTTCCAATAATCAGGCAAAAATTAATGCGTGCGATGATGTCATCCATAAAAATTACTTGCTGTGGCCTAACCTTAATTTTATTCTATTGAAAAGCAAAGCATATCTTGTCACTGCAGTGTAGGAATTTATTTCAAATTGTAGTGAGTGTGAATTTGCACTGTAGGAGCCGGATATATTGCCCAGTTCAAAGACACATTGTAAAATCATTTGAATATATATGATAGATTGAATTATTCAACCGTACATTTAGTAATTTTTCTCTAGATGGGTATATATATATTTCACATAATAAAAGGCACATTTACACGATAACTTCTAACAGTGCCGTTTCCCTTGTTATAGAGCTTTAATTCGGAGGCACCATAGGTGTAGTTTCGTAAAAAGACAAACGACACGTGCTGTAACTCAATTTGATTACATGTGTTTTAGACTGCAGCCTTAGGCCACACCAATTTAATTTTATGGATGACATCCACGCACGCATTAATTTTCGCCTGTTCTAATAAAAACGAACACGTCCACCGAGGCTCTGGCCTGGCTCTAGGCCTGGGTAGTCCATGGTAGTTAGCGACAATACTGAGCCGGTGGTAACTCTGGAGGACGGCACCCAGGCTATCGTAGATTCATCAAGAACTCAGTACATACGTACAGTGCCGATTCATAAATTCCACAAACGGCCAGCATGTGCCATACATACGTCGCTATGAACTGATGCAAATTCACAATACCAGCTTCATATACCTGTGGTTTAGTAGCATTTTTATTTTTGCCCGGAATTTTTTTTATTCGCCCGCGCGCACTAGTTTGGGGGGTCTTAAGAGGATGTCATCCATAAAATCAAGTCGGTGTGGCCTTATTATTAAATCGCTGAATGCTTTGTGACGCACTTCCCTACTTTATTTCCCTTTAATTGCAAGATTACTTCCAAAAAGTGGATCCTACAGACAACTGCCTTAATAGACATATTTTTATGTTTTCCTACAAAGATAACATAATGCTCAAATTGTTTATATTACTAATAGACGTCTTTTATTCTGCTGCATCGTAAATACTCATCATAAAAATATAATTGATCAGGAAAAAATTAATCTTAGTTTGCACATTTCGTCAAGTGATATGTATATTTCAGCTAGAAACATAAATCACATTCTGATACATCTAGATTTAGAGCTCACAAATATCGGCTTTTTATCCGTCAAAGTGTCCCAGGAATAACGAATCTGCGGAAAAGTGGTTGAAAACGATAAAGTATTTCCATCTAGTATTGATTTTACGTCATGTGGACGCAATAAATGTTTTCATTTCACTGTGAAAAGATTACAGTTTGACAAACATTGCCCCAAATTCGATTCGCGCGTTTTTGTATCGATCTCAAATCGTCTATCTACGTCACATGTTGGCGCCTGTGATATGATAGTGTGTTTAAAATAAACAAATGGTCAGGTCAATCGAACGAAATGAGACAAATCGCTGACATTGCGTACTCTAACCTCTACCAGGCTTCGGGTTATGGCTGGAAATCGGTCAAATACTTTCCTCACTTCACTCAGGTGAAAATGAGTACCTAGCTTCGGCTAGGGACGTCCCTCGGATAGGACGTTAAATGGAGGTCCCGTGTTTGGGAGTGCCACACCCCAGCGGACCTTAGTTGACCCCGTTTTACTCTTGCTATTTATGGTCAGTTCGGATCTGATGACTTTCCAAGCGCAGTCGTACGGGGATACGATCAAAAAAGAAATAGAGAAAGGCAACAACATGAGAAAGAGAACTCTGAGAGGACGGAAGAAAGAAAAGTATGATTTGTTGTCTCCACCTGTTTCTCAGAGAGATAGAACCGAGGGATGCTTTGGTCCGAGAAAGCCGATGATACAATTATTTCTCTTTTTATTTATTCATTTCTATTATTGTGAAATTGTTTCTATCGTCAATGCAATCGTAATTTCTTGTAATTTTATCTCTTACTTTGGTTTTTGTACATTTTTGTAGCAGTGATAACTTTTTTCGTCAGCGGACCTCAGCCGACCCCGTTTTACAATCGCTATTTATGGTCAGTTCGGATCTAATGGCTCTTCAAGCGCAGTCGTACGGGATATGATCAAGGCAACAACATAAGAAAGAAAAGTCTGAGAGGACTGAAGAAAGAAAACTATGATTTGTTGTTTCCAGCTGCTTCTCAGAGATAGAACCGAGAGATGCTTTGGTCCGAGAAAGCCGATGATACAATTCTTTCTCTTTGTATTTATTCATTTCTATTATTGTGAAATTGTTTCTTGAATATCTATAGTCAATTCTCATTAATTTCTTGTAATTTTATCTCTTACTTTGGATTTTTTTCTCACATTTTTGTAGCAGTGATAACTTTTTTGGACAGCGGACCTCAGTTGGCCCCGTTTTACAATCGCTATTTATGGTCAGTTCGGATCTGAGGACTTTTCAAGCGCAGTCGTACGAGGATACGATCAAGAAAGAAATAAAAACATGAGACATGAGAAAGAAAAGTCTGAGAGGACCATCGTCAATGACCATTATTTTTTGTAATTTCATCTCTCACTTTGTATTTGATGCGATTCTTTTTTGAAAATTCAATTAATTTTTATTATTACGCAGTTAGGTCTTAGATGTCTATCGTCAATGTCCATTAATTTCTTGTAATTGTATCTATTACTATGTTGTTGTTTTTTTTTACATTTTTTGTAGCATTTTTGTAGCAGTGATCACTTTTTTGGCCAGCAGACCTCAGCTGACCCCGTTTTACTCGCACTATTTATGGTCAGTTCGGATCTGTCGTACGGGATACGATCAAGGCAACAACATGAGAAAGAAAACTCTGAGAGTACGGAAGAAAGAAAACTATGATTTGTTGTCTCCAGCTGCTTCCCAGAGATAGCACCACGGCGGTGTTACCTTTTCAATTCCAAGCAAGTTTGCCCCGGGGCAAACATAGATCTTCTCTAGAACGAAGCGGTTAGAGGATACGCAAATTCCTTCTCTTAAGTGCGCGCCTGCCATTTTCTTAT